GATTGCACCAAGTTAACTTGAACAAAGCTATTTGTTGAAAAGTAAATATAAATAAGAAAGTAATTTTTAACCGCAAATATGTTTAATTTAAATTTAACTTTCGTCGTTAAAAAATTTAAATGGTTCTCAATTAGGGAGAATTGCACAAAAATAATTTCTACGTAAAAGCCATTATTTTTGTTACTACAGTTTTTAATTTTCCCATGGGTATCTACACAAATTTGGTTATAAAGGATTTCCAAATGCAAGTTTTCAAAAAACCAAAATTATTAATACAGGTGGGTAGGTGCGTATGTAAAATATGAAAAAGAAATGTGCTATTTCGGAAATTAAAAGTTTGACAACAGTTGTTAATATATGATCTATTAATAAATATTTATTTCATTATCCAATTTTATGAAAATTGGTAACATTGGAGCTGGGGATTGTTTGGCCTTGGCTGAAGAAACTAGTGCGAGTGCAAGATGTATTTTGTATTGAATTTTTGGAAGCGTTTTTTTTTTTCCTATCTTTTCTTTCTAATCATCCCCGTTTTTATGCAATTAACATTTCGGGCTTAGTTTTAGTTTTTCTGAAAAATGCTGACCAAATTGGAAAAGCAATTCCAACAACTTACATAAACAGTCACAGCTCAATGGATGCTTTTTTTAGTTCTCTTTCTCTTTCCTTGAACGCAAAAAATACCTGAAGGGAAAGTCTTAAGCACAAATCTCATTCATTATTTAGGTGCTTCAGATTTCCCTTATAAATCTGTAGTAGTTTTCCAATTGAGTATGAATGTTTTTCCGCATATTTCAATTTTTTGAGAAGTGTAGAATTTGATTATATTTTTGCCGCTTTTTTTAAAAATGAAATGTTGTTATGACCTGCCGGTATCTATTCTTTCCTTTTGTAATATGTTTTTAATGAATTTTTTTATATATTTTTTCTAACTATACTTTTTTACCTTTATTTTAAGCTCCATCTTGTGCGACCAAGTTTTTTGTAATCATGGCGTTTGATTTACAACATTTGTTTTGGTTGTTGGCTGTTGATACGAGAAAAAATACATTTGATTAATTGATAAAATCCTGGTTTTTAGTATGAGCTAGTTTTTGTTTTATAGATTTGGTTGAATATCATCTTTTTTGAAATCTTATTATAAAAAATGTTGACAGTTATTTGTTTTTCATGGTCAAATGCTTGACAGTTCACCTAACAGCGTCTCGGCGTCTAAATATCATGTAGTTCCCACATTTAAGTAATGACTACCTACTAACGACTAATAAAATTAGAGCATTTCTCTATTTGTAAGGAGTTTGAGTAAAATTGTTAATATATTTTCTTTAAATTGTTTTTGACTGCTGCCATAGGAGGCTGTGGCGGTCACTTTAAAAATATTTTCACGGTCATATTGTTACCAGATGAAAGTCATAACCACTTCGAAAGTTTAAATGGGCTATTCCATGCAAAATTCTAAATTTACTTGAATTACTGTACATACGTCGAACTTAAACTTTGTTTTTAATTGTAAAACAGTTCATAAGAAATTGATCGTAAATATGGCTTTGATACGTACAAACGTGCAAAGAATGGTGTCAGGTGATGAACATAACCGATTCATATCATTAAGTTTAAAAAAACAAATGCTAGATGTTTACTTTAGTAAATAAACAGTAACTGCTCGATTATTCTGCAACAAAAATTGGTATTTTGGAAGTTGGTGCCGATGTTGGTATCTAGTTGGTACATCAGAGGTCATCTTTCGTCTAAAGGATGTAAACCTAGAAAGTAAGGGATGCGCTAAAAAGTTGCTGCATAAATTAATTCCATTTTATATATTACACATATAAATTATGACGGCCATTATTACAAATGTAATCAGTGTCTGGTTCGGTAAACAGTAAATAGACCCTTGTTGCGTAATTTTGCTTGAAATATTTCTTGAATTTAGAAAACAAAATTAAGAATAACAAGGCTTATCGTGTTATTGTATTATTGAAGCCGCAATCGGAAGTTTAGATGAGTTTTATAAAGGCAAAACAGTTAGGGTTGTCGAATTGACCGGTAATTTTTTTGTGTCAATTGACTGAAATAATTTTAAAAATACAATTAAATTTATATTTATTTATATTGTGTGTTACGTCACCCTCGCGTCGTTCGTGAACTAAATGGGGTCGATATTTTTATTGGGATTTCCCGAATCTCGCCAACCATCATATCAAAAAAAATAACACTCTATCATTGCAAGATATTATTAAAAACATTTTGATCGAATTTGACCAGTCATTTAAGAAGTGGTCAATTGACCAGTCCCCACACTAAAAGCAGTTTTAGGTATGGAATTTTTTTTACTATTAGTTTAAAGTGGTGTTATAGATAGAAATTGCTATTATTTGGATTATTGGAAACGGCAATGTCCATTTTCTTACAAATTACAAGTTACGTTTAACAGTTTTTTCTGGTTTATTCGTCTAATTATACAAATCTTCACATTTTTAAGTTCTAACTATAAAATAATAATAATAACTATTATTTTTATTATTTCACAACAAAATAAAGAAAGTAGAACAAAATTTAGCCTTATGGTTGCATAAAATGAGTTGAAAATAATAACAAAAAGTTCAAGTTCAACTCCTAGACACTGAGAATAATATTCAGATACTTGCATATTACGTTCCTTTCTTAACAGAACAGTAGATACAGAATTACCCCGATAGGACTAACATACGAACGTAGAACATAGAAGATAGATTGATAAGACTAACATCAAGAAATAATAAGAAGGGACGTTCAATATTCAAAAGTGTTATAGCCGTTTTAGAGGAATCAATTTTACACTAGTTACTGTTCCAGTGTTACCTATGCGGAGCGAACTCGTTTGATATTAATGAGGGTCAAATGCGTTTTTTTCCTTTGGCCACCAAAGTGTATGTAGGAGGAGGATCCCATCGTTAATTTCTCTTTCGGATACGCGGAGGTATAAAAATTGTTGATTTTTTTTTTGGAGGGGAACTTGCCTGGGAAGTGGGCGTGGTTTCCTGTAAGTAAAGTCGTATGTTGAAATGAACGTTCCCAGGAATTCAAGATCGTTTTGCGATTTCCGACCATCAATTTGTCAAACTTTGTGTGTCTCGATTATCGGCCAAACAGTAACCACAAAGCTATGTTTTATAAACTAATAAGACATCATTTTGCAACTAAACGATATATTCATACAGAACATAAAACATCAGTTAAATTTAAGTATTTATGATTGCATTTTTTTGACATTTACCAGCCAAATTAAGGTTTTATGCATCAGGAAGCTGCCAGAAAATTACTGGTAGTAATAGTTTTGTTGCAGTAAGCCAGGCTTCAATGAGCCTTTGTATAAAGGAAACAAATACTCTGAATAGACCGGATATTTTCATAATTGTATATATATTTCAACTGGTTAACACAATAGTTCCAATATATTTTGTTCTTTAATTTAAAAAAAAAGTGTTAGTATCTTATTTTATGTTTGGAGGTGTTGACTGTATACCTATTAGTATTAGTATTCGGATATATTGAGAATGCTGGAGAAAAGTGGTTGCATTTAAATTAAAAAAGCTAACAGAACTAAAAAAAACAGAAACTTTGAGGTTTTTGATTTTGCTAAAGGGTACAGTTTGACTTATAGAACGCTGGAGAAAATTGATCTGTCGCGCTGAATTAATGAAAAAAACAAAACTAACAACGAAGTGGGTCTTTTCCTGTTTAATATTTTGTACTTTTTTTTACAGCTTTACTTTTCAAAACTTTAACAAAATGATCCCAATTTTGTTTAGTACAGAAAAATGATCGTTCGATGATGGTAATGGTGGGACCGCTTTTAATCACTGCGCATGAACGTTATTGTTCGGTGACGGTTTTTCGACTGGGAAAAAACAAACGATCTCGCTTATGCGCAGTGATTGTTTTGTTACGGTTTCCGAATAGTAATTTCGGTACATGGTCAAAATTCAAAATTCTGGGTTTACTTGCGAATTCATCACCACGGTCATGGCAGTTATTAATGATTTTTAAAGTATGTTCAATCGTTTTTAAATTAAAAATATAATACAAAGTCATACAAATCCATCTAAATAGCGCCTCTAGAGGTAAGAGCAAAACAAAGAACAAATTCAAAATTTATCATAATAAAAAATATTCAGGTACTAATTTTCGTTCAGAAATCGAAATTGTGTATAAAATTATGTACAAAAAACAAACAAAAAACGAAATATTTTAGACCAGGCGTGAACAACTTTTTGCCTTAAAAATACTAAAGAAATCACTCTGTGCAATATCAAATAAATAACACCCTGTATAAAAGCAACTAATCAATTTTATGACGAAAATAATAGCCGTGAACCGATGACCGATGGTACCATAACAAGAAACGTAGCACATAACTATTTTTTTTTTAATTCCTACACACGTTTTAAATTTTTATTAACGTTTTAAAGCCGAAAATTGTTTCGTTTCATTTACTGCATATAAAATAAAAATAATTGAGGCAATGTCACTGTCAGTGGTAGATCGGATGGTAAAAAAATATGTATTTTTTCGTTATGGAACTATTTTTCTTTTTTTTTTTCTCAGTACTAGACAACGCAAACAATACTCCACAAATGTAAAGCACGCATGTATTACTTAGTGTCTAGCAGTGCCCTTTTTCGCATAATGGACGTTCAATTTATTTAATAAAAAAATACGAAGAAGGCGTATTGGAAAAAAGCGACATTGATAAAAAAAACTAAAGAGCATTAAAAATATATTTGTTTTATTTATTTGTCCACAGGTAGGATTCGGTCTCTCCCTCTGAGTAGACTGTGAGACTGTGACGTTAGCAAGTAGTTTTCAAAAATTCAAAGTTAAACAGTTTGGGAAAACATTTTACCCAGTTTCAAATTAAGAAAATTAAAAATAAAACAAAAAGATATATGTACTTAAAAACATTGTTATATATTAGAAGGCATAAGAGATGTATTATAATTAATTTTCTCCTACTGCAGGTAAATACAAGAAGAATGAACAAAGGCATTCAAAGCAAAATTCAAGCCAACCTTCTGCCAACCATCAGCAGCAGCAGCAAGCAAAACAACCGCCATCGGTTCAAGTGCCGCCGCCTCAGCCACCTAAAGCCAATAACAAATCGAACAAGAAGTCAGAACTGAATTTGAAGGGGGCTAACAAGGAGGGTACGGATATGGACGCATTCAACGACAATGGTTCCAAAAACGAGGTGAACGCAAATGTAGTGATTTCTAGTCAAAGTGACATCGTTAACGCCAACACGATAACGTCCCAAACGCAGATACCTCCGGAGCCATCGCCCGTGGCCGAAAATGAAGATACTAAAGTTAGCTCTTCAAGGTGTGCTATTAACTACTTTTGTGATATTAGATACTATTTTTATTTTGAGGAGGAACGTTTTCTTTAAATTTTAAATAATATTGTTATTTCCAGTGATCGTAAAGGCGCGGAAGAGAACGATAATGTGATAAAACCTGAGCCAGTGGTCGTGAACAATATGCCGCCCCCTCCAGAAGTGGGGGCGGTGGTACCAGCACCGGCGTTACCAAAACAAGCGAAACCGCAATTTGATGTGACAAGCATCATAAAAGAAACTCCGAAAACGATAATGCAAATAAACAATACTCAGGATGAGACTGACCGGGGCTACTTTTCCAATGATAAGATTGTTCTTGCGAAAAACGACGCCAACATCAACAAAAACAACTACAATGATGTCAAACCGCAACTACCTTATCGTGAAGGTGTGTGTGACTTACAGTAATATTATATCCAATGGAAGGCTAGACATCATTGGTTAACTCTAAGACGGCACGCGGTATTTACTATCAATAGGCCTCATGGGACCTCCCCGTTCCGCCCTATCACATAAAAATAAAAAGTTGAAAAAACTATCTTGCATACAGTTTGGGAATACAATGTTTGGCAATGTATATTTGATCAAAGCGATTTCAGGCATTTAAATCGTTTATTTACAAATTACACAGAGTAAAACCATATTTTAGAAAAATGTTTTTAATAAGTTTAAACATAAAACTTTTCAAAACTAGTTAGTAATATATTAATGTAAGTATAGGATAGCACACATTGCTATAGAGTGCCGTAATATTGTTTTTCTTGAATATATTTATTTAATTAATGGAGTCGTGATTGTTATCAATTAAATTAATATCTAAATTCCTTATTTATGTATTTAGTAAATTTTATATGTGGCAGTATTGTTGGGTCTCCTTTGGATGTAACCACCTTTGGTTTAACTAAAGCCAATTTGGCTATCTTAATAAGATGATGATATTTTGTTGTTGACGATGAAAGTAGTGATCTGATTCATCTGATGTTAATTCTTTATCTGAAGTTTTGTTGAAATTTAATTTTAAAGACTGATTTTTCATTTTTGATTTTCACATAAGCTGAATTTTTTTAGGGCAGTGGAGTCCTGCATGTCGTGACGGCAAAAAGGTGTATGAAAGAGATTTTCTTTTAGCCCTGCAGAATTTCCCAGCCAGTAAAATAAAACCTGGTAATATACCAGATGTCGTACTCGCGGATGAGAGAAGTGTAAGTGGTTTCGGTTGTATGATTTCGTTTTGTTACTTTATGGTATCCCTTCATTTCAGAGACCTATCGATGGGAGAATGTCTATGGGGGGCAGAACAGATTTTACGACACCACCCTTTCAAAATTATGGATCGAAATCTGGGTCTCAGAGAGGGGTAAGTGTTGCTTACTGTTTAAAAAATGATAACGGTTTTAAATGGTATGGTGTTACAGGTATTACCAAAACAGAGAAATAGTCAATCTAAGATGGGTAGTCGTAGTGGTAATGATAAATCGGCAAAACCCACACCAAAAGTTTCAATATCGCTTAAAGGCGATGTGAAATTGCATGAAACTGAAAATGCTTGGAAACCAACCCGGTTTGCTAAGAGTATGTATACATTAGTAATATATATAGGGTGATTCACCATTACTGGCGGGTTATAATTATGAATTTGTTACATTTGGGTATTATAGCTAGTTAGTTTATTATTGATATGATTTGCTAAATTATCTCAGAAAAATTATGACCTGACTTGGTCCTTATTACTCTTTGCTTTTCTCCAAGTTTCTGTAGTTTTACCTAAATAGTAAGGATTAGCAATAGGAAATAAAATCAAGTTTCTGCTAAATGTGTTAAATTTTTGAAAAATCGCGTCAATATTATATGAATATTATAAAAATATTCCATCTTTTAGTTTCTAAAGTTAACGTCTAACCTGCTATCCACTGTGAATTACCCCTATATGTCTTGTAACAAAACCTAGGTTGCATGAATAGCATCTTTTGAAAATAAATAATAATTAACATTGAATGTTTTAAAACATTTAATTCATATATATTTTTCTATTTGTTCAATTTATTTATACTGTTATTTTACTTGTATGTATTACTTAATGTATTGGGTTTTTTTTTTGGTATTATAAGAAGTTAATACAGATGAGAGAGTTTTAAGAAAAAAGTTTAATTGCAAACATTTTTGGTTTTTGTTTAATATTTATTTGTTTAAATGTACTGTCTATGAGGCAGCAAGCGTTTGTTCTGAGGTACCGTGAAAATTCGGTAACATGTCGCTTCCTTCCTTTAAAATCTTTATTTGACTGCGATTAAATTTTTCTTCTATCTGTACATATTCATGCAATGGGGTTTAGATTAATATAGTTATTTCTGGTTCTAAAACACAATAAAATGCTAAGTTTTTCATAATATTTACCAAACACCAATATCAAACAAATATAACAAAAGAAAAAATATTTTAAATATGTTTTGTTTATAACTTATATGATGACTTTAAAATTAAAGATGAAAGTAGTGCTCTGAAGCTTTTGAAGATAACGCAGATCTGATTTATTTTCTTGACTTAATTCATTGTTCTTGTTTGTGCACTACAAATAATATCTTGATGTTCTTAAGGTGAAGAAATTTCGGAAGATGAGAAGAAAACCGAGAAGCTATATAAAAAGGTACGTTCAGTTTTGAACAAACTAACGCCACAGAAATTCGATACCCTAGTAGCTCAAGTTAGAGCGTTAGAGATCGACACAAAGGAAAAACTGAACCGCGTTATCGATCTTGTTTTTGATAAAGCTATTGACGAGCCTAATTTTTCGGTCGCCTATGCGAGAATGTGCAATGAACTCCAGATTATGTCGGTAAGTTGCAGGTTAATTTTTTGCCAATTATTTTGTGTTGTGCATATTTATATCCTGCATATTTGGCTGTGACAGGTTTCGGGCAGTGAAGATAAGAAAGGGACTTTCAAGACTTTGCTTATTACCAGATGCCAAAAAGAATTTGAAAAACAATCAATAGATGAAACAGAGAGGGCTAACCGAGTTAAAATTATTGATGAATGTACAGACCCAGTAAGACTATTCATTTTAATTATTATGTAATTTGTCGATTTATCCAATTTTTTTTTTTTAGGAGAAGAAAAAGGAATTGACCTTTGACTTGGAAGAATATGACAGGAGGTTAAGAATGAAATCTGTTGGCACTATTAGATTCATAGGTAGGTATATAAAAACTACTTTTTAACAAAACAAAATGTTCAAGTTAAGATTTTTTCATATCTCGGTGATCATATTTTTGTAGTAAATTTTTTGCTTGTATTTGCAAATGTCTGATGCACAAAATCAGAAAATTATTCAGATAATATCTGATCAAAAATTTTTCTAAAGTCAGTAATTTACGCACCAGATAATTGAGTGAATTGTTAATAAGAGAAAAAGGTTCATAAATATTTTTTATTAAATAATCTTTGTTTAAGGCGAATTGTTTAAACAACAAATGTTAACTACAAACATCATGAAACGTTGCCTCCAAACTCTGCTAGACAACAATGATGAAGAGAGTTTGGAATGTCTCTGCAAACTTCTTACCACCATTGGTAAAGAGCTTGAAAGCAAGAAAGTGGATATGAAAAGTATATTCGATGAAATGAAGAAAATAGTCGATAACCGACAGCAGAAAGTCAGCAGCAGGATCCGATTCATGTTGCAGGATGTGATTGAGCTTAGGGATTCCAATTGGGTATCCCGAAGGGGCGACAGTAATCCGAAGACAATCGACCAAATACAAAAAGAAGCTGAAAATGAGCAATTTAATATTCAAGTGATGAATGCAAATATACCCAGGAAGGATGATAGAAGTTCAAGCGGTGGTGGACCCAGACAAACGGCGTCCCGGAAAAACCCTTCAGAAGATGGGTGGAATTCTGTTTCATCCCGAAACAATCGCCAGTCTTACACAATTCAGATGGAGAAACTCAAGAACAAAATAGTATGTTGCACATGCATTTTTACTATTATATATTTTGTTTTCCCGATTTTCTCATTATTGAGCCTGGAACTTAGTATAATTTGATCTTTTCACACAGCCTCAATCTGATGAACCCCTTGGCTCAAGTCAGTCGTTTGCAACCTGGAGCAAAGGTGCTATGGGTTCTAAAAATCAATCTCAAGCGACATTGCCAACCAACTTGAATCTGTATACTGCGTTAGAGAATATTGATCCTGAGAGGCGGCCCATTAGTAAGTATTTTTTTGCCCTATAATTGCTTGCAAATGATTGATTGCATAAATAAGTCAACCAATAAACCACATCATGGGTTGTTGGTGTTACTTATATGCTAAATTAATGAAGACGGGGTGGATTCGCTAACACCATGAGGATTTATTCGATGAATGGGGTTTGATAGTAGCCTCCCCACATTTTATCCCCTTAACATTTTTGCAAGGGGCTTGCTACTGCACCTTGATAGAGATGAAAAGGTTCTCAAAAAAACTTCCTGAATTAATTTGATGTTTATTTAATTCATTCCAGTGCAATAAAACGACACTGTCTTGAGGTGATGCGCGAAATTTATTTTAAGAAAAATCTATTGTCGGTTGCGTTTAATTATTAAACCATAACCGTGAAAATTGAATTTCTAGATCAAAGGAGCAATAAAGATCCTTATACTTCGAAAGGTCCAAGTTTGGAAAGGAACTCTTACAAGACGTCATATGATGGCCGAGGCTCCAGATCGGGTTCCCAACATCGAACTGAAAATACGGCTGCATTGAGGCCCAGCCATACACCTCCTACTCTGGCGCCTTCAAAACCTTCCACACCCGCTCCAATTCCGGCTGCAGATTGGGACCAGATACTGCGAAGGATACATGATTCGCTTAACGAGTATCTGAACAGTTATTGTACAGCTGATGAATACTTCCAAGAGATAGCTACCATTCCCTCATCAAAATATAGTAATGTAGTTTTTGAAAGGTGGGTAGAGTAGACATTGTTATTTGATAGAATTTGATTTTTTGTTTCTTTTTTAGTTACAATCATATCACTGAAAAATCACAAAAAGATAGGTTAAAGACCGGCGAATTATTTGCTACATTAATAACTTCTGGTAAATTATCACTGGATGATTTTTGTTCTGGTCTGGAAGAATTTTTGGCATTAGGTGAAGATTTAGAAATTGATATTCCAAAAATTTGGACATACAATGCTGAAAATATAGGCGAGTATTATAACTGGATTTTTCCAACTCTCGGCCTGTGGCAAATAAAATTAAAATTGGAATAAAATCTGAGAAGAGATTCCATAGTTCTATGAATAAGTTCCAGTATTACATTTATTTTTTGACACTTTGTGTTTGTCCTCCTTACTCCATTGAAAGTAAAAAAATCTGTTTACGTACGTGTATTTCTATTCCTCCCGCTTGCTAGTTTTTTAGAATGGAAGCTGGATATTTTCTTAACCCACCTAAAGATCTGGTCGATTGACACTAAATTGGCGCTTTAATTGCAAAGTTTGCTGTGACGTCAAACCTTTATATGAAATTGGAACTTACTCTCTGTATTCTATGGTTTTTCTTGTGATTCAACTCATCAAAGTTGCGAGTAGCACACCTACTAGTTTAATAAGTGGTATGGGTAAAAATCGAATTTTAAACCTTCTAGAAGAAAAACGTTGATATTTAGAATTAGATTATTCCGGCTGGTAGCTGTTCCTCGTTTCAAATTGGTTGTTTGGACCACAAAGAATTTGATTTCATTCTGGTTGCGTAGGCCCGAACTGTATCACATTCTGCGAGTCAGTGTATTATCTTAATGTAGTTTGTGAAACTTAGGGGCACGCGCAGAAGTTGGTTCTCTTCTGTATGATGGTGTCATAGCCACCTGTGCATCACTAAAGTACTAAAATAACTTACATTTGCATTTTACATGTCATAAATCATACGGAATCTATTGTTGACGACACTCCATCTGCCCTAACCACCTGAACTCTGTTTTTTTAGATATGATCCGAGTAAATCTACACTTCCTTTTGAAAAGCTGTAGAAGCTAAGTGCAGTAGGCTATCATGTGAAACACAATCAAACAACCTACTGAAATCATAAAACAAAGCACCTATAAATTCTAATTTATTAGTTCAATCAAGAATATAGGATACAAGGTCTAGTATTTCCAATTTAGCATTTTTTTCCTTCCTAAATTTTTTAAAAGAGTGGGCTAATATATCCATTTTACGCTTAAACCAAAAATATCCAAGCTGGTTTTATTTTTTAATTTGTTAATAGTGTCCCTAATCTATACAAAAAAGAATTCTTGAAAAATGGGGATTCTGTAGCAGACAAATCATATTAGCGTGTAAGTCCAGTAGACCTCAGAATCGTGTATAAGTCCAGTAGGCTCCATTTGTTGGGAAGGTATTTTGTCAATTATTTTCTTTGATGTTGGAAAAATAGACGTTAAATTTTTCAGCCCATATGTTATCTTTCATATCATTGTGCTTTGTTTCTCCAGAATGCATATTTATGTGGCAGATTACATGACATTTGAGGACTTATTTGCAGTATTTCTCAGATTGTAATTTTAGCTTCATGAATGGCACTTTTATATTGAATTTTAAATTTTTTATACTCTCCACTTTTCTAAATAACTGTTCTGGTCTGTTCAGTTCGCTCAAAAACTGGAGATTGGCCACGTATTGGTTTAGCATCAAACCAAGAGATGTTGGTCACCCAGTCAGAACGCACAATGTTTTTTTAGAATTTTGTTCTAGAACATCAATAAATTCAAGGAATTTTGCATTCACATTATCTGACATAGCGCGATGAAATAGAAACATACCTCTTTTTGTTAATGGTCTACAGACCTTAGGCTTATCCTAATTACTAGTAAGTGGGTTATATAGATGATCATATAGATATGCGTTAAACAGATTGTGATGGCCCTGACCCTGCAAGTTGATAGAGTGTAAATCCCAATCTAATTATTAAATTCCTTTTTTTTTTCAGTTCATTTGGTCTACCAGCAAGTTCTTCCATTCACAAGAATGCATACCGTATTAAAAGTCGTCATAGATAATAACAAAGCCGCAAACATTTTGAAGCCGCTTTTTGATTTAGTGATATGCGAAAAAGGTCCAAACTTCTTACAGCATATATGGCAGAAGTCAAACCTGCAGTTGTCTGATTTTATTCCAAGTTCAGAAGTGCCCTTGTTTGTTAAAAACAATGTAAGTAAACCCCATTACACTCTGGTTAGAACATAGATTAACTGTTAAGTTGTCCGGTAGAATTTGGAATTCCTAGTGGGAGGCGATTCACCCGTGGGACATTGCGAATTAACCTATGAACAAATTCGTAGCAAATTGTCGGAGTTCCTTCAGAATGGAACGTGCTTCGACGATATCGTGAATTGGATATCTGTAAATGTTGATTACGCCCATAATGAATATTTTGTGTACAAGTATAATTTTTAGGCGAACGTAGGTGAACGAGTCAAAGAGAACAAGTTCATACGGGTGTTGGCCACCGCCATTTTTGAGAATTCAATACAAAAAAATAAGCTGGTCGCGGATGTACTCCAGAGGCATACCAAACTTATTCATAAATATGTAGATAATAATTCAAATTTGGAGCTCCAATGTCTTTATGCTCTTCAGGAATTGGTTAGAAAACTGGAGTATCCTCAAGGTAGGAGGGGTTCCTGCAAATTTTTATTACATTGGTTTATAGTCAGATAGTGAAGTAATGGAATAAGTGATTATTTCGATTATTTCAAACTGTGGAAATCAGGTTGTAGTAATTTCCTATATTAAGCAAAATGTTTTCTCCTCTTATTCCAACTTCCTAAAGCACTGCTTATGATTTCTTTTTTTCAGGATTGCTTCTATCAATATGTGATAAACTCTATGAAGAGAGCACTTTCTGCCAAGAAAGTTTTATACTGTGGGAAGGTAGTGATGATCCTGCTGAACAGGGAGGCAAAGGTAAATAACAATCTTTAAGAGATAGTTATCAAAAAGAATTGGATGATTCACGTTGAATGGCGTAAAAGGTCTAAGTAATTTTTGTTGACAGTTGTTGTTTTATTGGTATTTTTTTGAAGAAATCTTTATTTAATGGCTGTTCTCATTCTTTCCTTTCCATAAACCAAATTTTAATCTAATTAAATGTAGCGTGACACCTTTTTATATTGGCGCCTCAAAAATGTTTATTTTTCCGTTTAGGTGTATGCTTAAAACAATTGACTTCCTTCTTCACTTCACTCAAAGAAAATGAAGAAGAAGGGGAGTATTCTTCGAATTCTGAGGATCCATAGCAGTTGCTAATGAAAGCTGTGGTGTAGACAAGGACAAAAACAATTTTGAAACATATAAAGTGATAGTGACTATAGGTAAAATTTATACAATTGTTTATATTATATATATTATACATAAATAAAAAAAAAACTAAAAATATTGTGAAAACAGTAACAAGAAGTGAATAGTGCAGTGAAACTGGCAAAGTGAGTACACAAACAGTAAAAAATTGGAGAAGTGTTGTTGATTAATTGAAACTGGATCAATGAATGGGCTCAGTGGTGTTTTGATCAGTTTTATATTACTTCCTTTATTATTTATATAATATATATTTTATATTAATTATCTTCGTTTTTTTATTGTTTATAGCGACTTTTTAATTATAAATAAAATTGTGCCGGCTGCTGAGTCCCGAATAGAATTGTGAAAACGCGTCTTGTTATATTTTGTTATTTGATTTCATACAATAAGTTATACCTTTAGACGTCATAACATTGTTCTGTATAATAAAATATACAGCTTTGCAGTTCAGTTTTAGATTTTATTTGAATTTGTATTAAAAAATCTGAAACTGCAATTATTAAACTGTGGCTAGTCAGAAGTTACTTTCTTTAAAATATTGTATATATTTTCCAAAGCATATACAGTATTTTTCTGACTGATGTAAATATAGAATAAATTTTTTAAAGGTAAATTAATTGGTTCTAGATTACACTACGAATTGAATCTTATGTTGTATATTATGAATATATTTATATCGAGATCTTCTTGTTTTATGGAAGTACTTTTCATTGCCTATGAAGATCAGCTAACTTTGGGCCGGTTGATTTTCCTATATACATATGATTATGAAAGTTGATTTAAAGAGGTTGATTATTTTCTTTTACCAAATACATGTATCGAACGAAAGTCTACCAATTGTTAAAACATTTATACGAAATCATTCTGAGACAACTGACAAAAAAAGAAAAATATCAACTACACCTTGCGTTTTATTTTTCCAGAAGTCCAGATGATACAAGTCCTGCCTCTGATCCATCCCAAACATGGTGCCAATGCGCAAATAAATCCCAAATTTAACATAACTAATATAAACTTAATTTCAAAGTTTTTTCAAGAGTCGTTTATTAAAATAAGACATACTTTTTATCAAAACTACTTTTATTGAAATTCATACAAAAAGGTTTTATTAATTTTTTGTAACCCAAAACTTATTCAGAGTTTGGTGAAGAAATTCTTCCCAAAAATTGTATAATAGAAACTGGTTTTTTTATTTGAAGCACTATTAAAAATGGATGGTCAATCTTAAAGTTTCTTGGTGGTCTTGGCGCAGAGTAACGGACAAAGTGCACACCTGAAACAAAGCTTTTATTCCTTTAAATTTAAGGGTAAAGTGTATTTCATCACACTATATATTCTCAAAAAATTTATAACGTTCTTTAATATCGAATTGACAGAATTGTGATAAAGTTTAACAAATGAGAAGAAAATAAACAATTTGATGAACACATTATGTGAAAGTGGGCGATCAACAAAGTTGAGTTAACATGGTATACTTTCTCGCCGCACATCGGAAGACGCTCACGTGTGGTGATGCCTATTAGATGTATGTGGGAGAAGAAATGCGTCCTTCAAATAACACCGCGGGGGCCATAGACGTCTGAGCTTGAAGCACTATTAAAAAAGGGTGATCGACAGTAAAACGTTTTGCTGGTGGTGGCATAGAGCACAACATAAATTGAAGACCTGGAAAAAAATATTAAAATCGTATAAAAATGTTTGATGCACATAGCGAAAGAGGCGCCCTTTTACACATGTAGGCATTTAATAAAAAAACAGGCCGAAACGTTAACTAACGCCAGTAACCGATTCGTCTGTCTGATGAATAACAGTGGTCCAATGTGCTTGATTGATATAAAACGATGAAACAGATTCATTGTAAATCTTTGAATAAGTGCCCCAAATGCGGTAGGCCAAAAATATCCCTCAGGAGAAACATATGTTTTATAATTGCAAGAGTATTAACGTTTCTTCTGCTCTACAGGATTTGCCAGTAACATGGCATCAAAAAATGGGTCTGTTTTAAATTCGGCGAGGAAGCTTTATTGCTAGCATTATTTTGTCGCAACGTGTACATCTCTTTCTCATCTCTCTAATTTGAATTATCATGGATAATATCTTTATTGGTATTTTATTTTATACATTTAGGCAAAAAAAAACTTTACAAACTTTACAAATTTCGTGATAGAAATTAACCCAAATTTGTTTGTCTTTATTGATTCTGAAATCAAAATTCATTTTTAGCAGTAGGAAAGGTATATGAACAAAACCAACTTATTATTTTTCGAATATAATCCAATGAAATAACATACAGGTGATTAAACTAGATATTGCCGTTCACAAAAGCGGCAACACTGAATGCCTTAAAATAATAATAAATAAATAAAATAATTTATTACATATATATATATATATATATATATATATATATATATATATATATATATATATATATATATATATATATATATATATATATATATATATTAATGTATATACCGAGTGGATTGAATCAGCGAAAAGTTGCGTATCGCTGATTTTGATTATTTTTAAGTTCCCTTGATTAAGTACCAAAAATATTGCGGAAAACTAAAACAATTTTCAAGTGTTTTAAGGATGTATTTCAAAAGATAAAAAAATGCCCACAATTTGATATCAAGTTATTGCACCCATTAGAAATGCATATATATGGTTTAAACATGATGGTGCTACTCCACCTCACAACGAAGGCATGCATATAAGGAATGGCGGCCTGGATAACAACCAAAGTGTCCGAATCTGTTCAATTCAATTTATTAAATTAATTACACCTGCAGTTTGGTTAGTTTAATATAATCTTCACACAAAGGCAACTAACATACCCAGTGTGTCCATGTGTTATTTACTTTCCGAAAAACAAGATATTACAAGCAGTCTAACAGTAGGATACATGGATGTTCTATGGTAAGAATTTTCGGATTCTTGGGAAAAAATGAAGTTGGGAGACGTCAAAGATGCAAGCAACAACTCTGCAAGTATTGCTTTCATTTGGCTAGTTTACATTACAGCTTTTACATGCAGAGTGGTCGGTACAGAATGGATCAAAAAGCAATTCTTCGTTAAAGTAACGAAATTCATATTTAATGAGATATATGGCATTAACGTTTAGTTTTTGAAATTTCTTCTCTAAACCGCAGAGGTCGTCATGATTAGGAACATCGACTACCGATCGTTTAAAGATAGTTAATTGTAATATTTTGTTGCAGGTTAAATCGGTGGATATTACCCATACGTCTGACATATTGACATTGATGTATAATCTTTTGAAATCGATATAAGGAAAATAATTTCGGAACTAAGCTGTGTATCACCCTGTATTTCCCTAACGAGGCATATTGTCAAGTCTTTTTTGGCGAATAGAGTTGAATCTTTTTGCTGTTTGGCGCATTGAATACCGTTCACTCAGTATATAAAAGCTAATAAATAGAATTTGTGCGAGCATGTAAAACATCTATGAATACATAAATGTTCGGTCTTTGTGATAGTGAAACATACTTAAATGCAGCAGTATACAATTTTTAGTAGAAGCGGTTTTAATTTTGAATAAGTGTAGTTTGTATTCTATTTTAAATTAATTGTCGTACCTTTCAATAATATTTTAGTACTTTGTTGACCTATTGAACAGTTCTCATTAGAATGAAGACGATAAATTTTTATGAGGAATGCAAATTTATTGAATTTTAACCCAGGGGGGGGGTTATATGCATATATCTTCAATAAACATTTTACGTTATTTGCGGTATCTCTTCGACGCATAGTTTGACTAAGTTTATGCTAAATTTGCGTTGAAAGTTGCCCGCTCACAAACAAATTTAACGCATTTCATAGTTTTTTTTAATGAAATTTTCCAAGCAATACTGCGTTTTGGACGGGTCATCCTACCTAATAGTTCTATTTCTAATATACATATTAAGTCTCAATACCATATAAACATAAATGTATTGGGTAAAATCTAATTTGACACGTATATTTCTAATATAAAATCATCATATCAAGTGCTAAGACCAATTGGATATAAATGTATAGGGTAAAATATAATTTGTCACGTCTATTTCTAATAGCTACATATTAAGTGCTAAGACCATTTGACATAAATATTGGGTAAAATATAATTTGTGCGGCCGTAAAAACATCTAGATATTTAATTAATGTATTTAAATATGTTCACTTAGTTGTTTAATATATATTGCAAATTTTCATATTAAGTTTTATTTTGTTTAATCCTTTTTAAGTAATTTGAAAGCTTTATTTGCATTTTTTTTAATAAATAGAGACTGACATAAATGGTTACTAAAAGCAATTATTGTTTCAACTAATATTTAAGGCTCTATTTTTTGATTATGGTCTTACTGCACCAGTTTCTTTGAGATATTTTTCGTTACATGTGCAATTTAAAATAATGAAAATTTCATTTCATTTTTTAATTTACTTTGGAAACACCACTCTTCCTATGAACAGGTTGGACAACACAGGGAATATAGCATTTTTCTCTTCATCTCTAACTCTTAAATAATTGTTTAATAATATTATGAACGGATGATCTGCGTAAAACAAATTCGGTTGTTGCGGTGGAAACGACGCCATGAGTAGATTTATTTGCACCCCTAAAATTACAAGCATTATGATAAAATAAAATCAAACCCTTTCGACACACATCGCTTTAACACAAACGCAACAAGGTTAAAGGAAAAATATTCAGCATAAATTAGCACTTAACTCTTCACTTCGCACTAGTCATGGTGTTATTTAAGTTAGGCACATGAACAAACTTTTTTTTATAATTAATATTTTTTATAATACTACAACTTCAAAGTTGTCCCAAAGTAATAACATTCTATTGCCATATTTAAACACAATCGTTCTAAACAGGCGGTCCTGTTTAAATAACACCCAACATACATAAACGCACATTGATTTTTCTTCTGTTAATCTTGAGCGATAACAACTAATGAATAAAAGAAGCATATTTGTAATATACAATTTTATTCAAAGATACAAGTTGCGGTCCCATTTGCCAAAACTATTTGACTAAAACTACAATATATATCAGGTAGTTGTAATTTGGGCAAGCCTTCCGATAAATAATGGATACCAAAGCTTCTTCCTTCTGTTGGGTGATACGCTTTGAGCTTTCTTCAGTAAGAAAATGCAGGGATGATCTACGGGAAATTCTTCTTCTCTGAGTATAACTTTCATTCGTCGCCAAGATATGTGAAAATCTGTTTCAAAATAGTGATTTTTTCAGATAGTTTAGCGTGCCTGGGAAACAAATTACAACTCCAATTTTTATTTCACTGTATGTATGAATTTAAGCACTATATTTCAATGAGTTAGTAAATTTTGTACACTGTTGCGAGTTTCAGCACTTTGAGGGTAGTGTAAAAGAATAAAAGGTCGATTTCGACGTTGTTATAATTATTTATCATATAACAACTGTCTAAATTTAACATTTTCTAAAGTTGTTTTATCGGCTTTAGCTATACATTGCCTATCATTATATAGCGATGGCTAGTTATAATCATAAAATTGAATAATGTTAGTATTTGGTAAGAAATAAATTGTAATAAAATGTATATGGCACCTCAATAAAAATGGCACACTGCGTCTTTGAAAAACAATTGAATAATGGTAGATATGATAGAAATAACTTCAAAGCTTCGATGCCTAAGAAAATACTGTTTCATAAAACTGACAGCATACTCTTATTTTACCAACCCACAAAAATCAAGCAATAGCAAACTGGGAAAACATCTATTATGAAACAATAAGATTTTGTATTGCTTTCCTAGGAAAATGGAAATCAGTTTAACATTTCTAATCTGATTTAATATAGGAGATCGATCTATCTAATGGGCAAATTCAACTTGAACTGTTGTAGGACGATTTATAAAAAGCACACTAATATGAATTAATATAACAGTTAATCACAATTTCCCTACTTTTAAAATATAACAGTCCGCACGGCACAGTTCTTGTCAGCTAACATCTTATATACGGCCCTGGTTTGTAGTACACGTGCCGAAAAGGATGGTTGTGGAAACGGTATATCTTTGGGCGAAATTTAAAAATTAATACTCACAGGACTTCGGAAACAAATCCTATCACATACAAAGAAAAATTTAAGAAATTAAAGTTTCTACTTTTTCTTCAAAGGGCATAATTGCTATGGGTATATAAAAAATGCACTTATATGATTTTTACGAGAAGTAATGCAATTTTGATTATTGTAAAATCAAACGGAGAAGAGATCATAAAATTGTAATTTGGTATGAATTTCCAATTTCGTTCAGACCAAGAATTTGGTTAGGTAAAAATTATTAAGTAATGTCCAGAACAAATGCCGACGGTTCTTAAAAAAATGTAAAAAATTGTATAATGTATTGTCGCTCTAAAAACCATCACTTTAAATATATTGTAAAAACATTATAGATATGTAGGATAAAGTTAATCCTACCTATTAAAATTGTGCATGTTTTTGATTCAATACTTTCTATTCTAGGATGAACCACATCGATAGCCAGAAGGTAAATTATTGTAGAAAATTCGCAATTGGTCTTTGATATTATCAACTCTTTCTTCCCACCGCTATATATTTTCAACAATTTCTCTTAGTCGATTTCTACAATTTAGGTATTTTCCCAAATTTCGGTCGACTATTAGATCCGGAAGTATACGTAATGAATCATCCAGCGTTTACAATGGAGTTGAAATTTGTGGCATACTCTTTTAAGCAACTAGCTAAGTAATTGATGTCCCCACCGTTCTTTTTTAGTAGTCATGCTAGACTAATTTGGTAATAGCTTCAAATGTAGTTAAGTGATATTTTTAAAATAAGCAAATAATATTGCTAATGCCGATGGACGAACTGACAAACACAAACGGCAAATCTTTGTGAGCTTTAACCAAATTACCTTTTATCCCCGTTAAAGACAAAATGCAAAATACCCCCCCCCCCCCCCGGAAATCATGCAAGTGATAAAAAAAGAACGAACGTCAATCTTTTAAAATGTGGAGGTGATTTGACTAGATGGATTATTTGTGAGCAAGTTGAGAATGGATTACTTTAATTTTCATTTTTTTTTTTGGTTTTGGTCATATTTGCCCCTTCGGCGTTTTTATTTGCGATATTTCTCTGTAATAAGAACGTAGAGAAATTTATAGAAAATAGTCTAATTGGTAAAATTCGAATTTGTACGGCACTAATTTTTATTACGATCAAAGGTCGAAAAATTAAACCAATTTCGATATAATTCTTGATTTATTTTGGCCTAAATAAGTCTAAAATAAAGCCGAAATAAAAATAAAGAAGTATGTCCAAAATAAAGCCATTTTCTGCATAAATGTTGGACTTGAAGTGTTTCCCAAGCACTAATATTGAAATTTAGCTACTTTTCTTTCATGTATGTAAAGTTTGTTTAGTTTTGTAATTTAGACCAAATTAAATTATTATAATATAGTAGTATTTTTATTCAATTTGTAATTTTTTGAGTAACAATAAGCTGAATTTTAGAATTTAAACTTTTAGAGATTAGTAGCTCCATATCTTAGTATATATATCTGCGTTTATATTGGATTTATGATAAGAGCATAATACCTACTGAACGTGCCGGTCCTACTTAAACATCTGCATAAAAACTAAATAATTTTCATGACTTATCTGGTAACGCCGCTTTTATCGTTTATCCTAGAAGTGTATTTGTTGTCTATGCCTATTAAAATTTTTGACGGTCCACGCCATTTTTAAGTGGGACCGCAAATAATTCGAGGTCCAAAGAAGATATTTGAGTAGTGTTTGTGAAGCCACGGTAGAAGGAATTTTAACTCACGTATGTCATTTTTGCCTCTGCCTTCTTCTCTGCAGCCAACCAGTTAAATTTTGAATATTTGAATTTACTGTTTTATAATTTTTTTTTCCATTTCATATTGCCGAGAATAGCTGAACATAATATTTTGTTTACTCTTTGGTATAATTCTATTGAGTTTTGGTATAGCTAATTCTTAACATAAGTTTAAGCGCCAGTAGCTACTTTCTTTGCAAGTATAATATGTCGTTAATTATTATTTCTTCTTGGCAGTAGTTCTAGATATAAAACGTCTTTTAGGATTACTAAAATTCGTCGAAACATGTCAGTTTAAAAAATATCTAACTTATTCTATAAGCACATTATGCTATGACATTTATTGATATTCAAAAAAATAATGCATAAATATTTACATTTATTTTAATAACAAAAAACCTCAGGTAAAGAAACACTGGCTTTATTTTAGACTGAGGTAGAAGCTTAGGAACCTGCTTTGAATTTAATAATCTTAAAACAAAAGAGATTATAACAAGGCGTTTGCTCACGTATTAAATAGTAGACAGCTGTTATTTTTGTGGCTAGTTTTTCATCAAACTGTACAAACATAAAAGTATCATAATATATACCTATTCTGGGTTCACGATCCTTCCAGTAAACAAAACATTATCGAAATTATTGAAATTTACGATTAAGGCTAATATGAATGGATGGTCAACAGTAAATTCTTCCCACACTGGTAAACACCTCATCTGAATCTCCAGACCTGTCAAAAAATAAATTACGCCAAAAATTTTCTTAGTATATAAGAGTAGTTTAAACTCGCACAACCCTACTAGATTTAATTGCAAGCTGAATAATTAATACTACGAAAATGAAAAGAGATTCTTTTTTTTTCACTAATTGACATGCACCTTGAGTTGTTAGGAAAAATAATAATCAACGTTTTCAAAATATGAATGGGGGACACAAAACCAAGCAAAAACCAAATAGGTATACAAACAAATTTTGCTCGTGCCATAAACAACTCAATGCAAATGCAACCGTTCAGTGTGTATCTTAAAATATAAAAGATGAAAGTAGAGATAGAATTCATACATCAAAGTCTTACACTTAATGCTTAGTTATAATCATAGCGACGTTGAAAAAAAAAAAAGTAAAATTACCCTTTCAATTAAATGACTTTATTACTAATAGACAGTGTCAAATAGAAATCTATCATATTAGTGGCAATATTACTAAAATATGAAAAACTTATCACAACATAAATACAAAAATATATAAATAGATTTTTTAAAATATATATTATATACTATAAAAAATACTCAAATCCAATATGTTTATAGGGTGTCTATTATTACATAAATATATACTACAACAAAAATATTGGTGGATTCACTTACATGATAAACAATTGTTTCCATTGTACACAGGATTTTGCAATGCGAGCTATTTTGGAATTATGGTTAAAATTCGTAGGAATTTTGTCGAATCTATTAAAACATCTTGAGGTGCTATTTGAGGCAGCTGAAGTATTATTAAAAAATTAAATGGATAGCGGATAGTTATATCTTGGATAATCGACCGTAAAACAGAATGTTCCTGTTCCCCTCTAGATTGCAAGTAAGGAGATACAAGAATGGATGATCGACGATGAAATTTGACGGAGGTGTTCTAGCAAGGGATCTCACCATTACGACCACACCTGGTTTTCAAAAAAACAGTGTCAGAAACTTTCGCATTGTTATGTTGATTTAAAAACAAGAAAACCTTTTAAATTTGAAATTACAACTATTTAATATCGAATTAAAACGAGGTTTAGAGTATTAAAGATATCTGCGTTACCGAGGACGGAGAACTGTTTGAAGCGAAACAGTACAGAAGCAGAATCACTAGATTACAAATTACTCACAATAAAATTTTGTCATTCCTAATCTAAGTAATTGATGACTCGGATAAAAAAATGTGCTTAGAAAAAGTTAGGAACTAAAATATGTATGAGTTTGAATTGGCATTGTAGCCTGCATTAGGATTAACAAAAAATATTCATCTATTCGACGAATTCTGTTACTTTCACGTATTTGTCTTGACCATTTTTTTTATAAAACCATTATGACATTAAAGCATGATTCTCTAAACATATGCTCATAACTCATCGTGATTAAAACTAGCGCGATTCGGATTTGGAATAGCCAATCTTCCATAGAACAATATATTCTGAACACCTTTGTGACGAACACAAAGCATAAAGATGAAAGTTCGATCGGCAGAAAAGTCCCGACACGAAATGGCTCTCTTCATTCTCATTTTAACACCTAAAATATTACACAGTCTGTTTACAAAGTTTACTTTTGGACAATTTCGAAGTCTAGCTTATTCTCTATTACAATATAATTTAGTGCCCATGTACTTGCATTTTTAATCACTATTATCAAAATGAACATAAAAAACGAGGAAACAGGTGTGACGGAAAACTAAAAACAAGAGTTCCGTACATGTGTGGTAATTAAAACAGCTGAGACACGTCAAAACAATGTATCTCATGTGACTCAATGTTAACTCACTTGGTGTAAGAGACAACAACCTCTTAGATGTCACATATATTTTTAACTAAATAATATGCATCTTACCTGATTCAATCAACTGTTACACTCACACAGTTCCTTCTTTGCACACGCAAGTATGGTTTATGCTTATACAATCAAATCAAGAATAGTATATTTTATCAAAATTTACTTAACCAAATAACTTATCATTGGGAATAAAAATCATGGCATAAAACATTTTAATTAAATAGCGCGAAGGCAGAGAAAAACAAATCGATTCACCAAGCAGCACATAACATGGAGTTAAGGCATTGCACAACAGCATGCAAAACATTCAGTTACACCGAAGCATTTTTTAGGGTAAAATTAACATTAATCTGATTGATCAATAGACACATAATCAAGGGAGATAGAATGATTTTTATTTTAACATGATGCAAATATCTTGATGGGTACATTAACAAAATGTCTTGCTAATATTTCGTGAAACATCATCCCTGAAATGACAAATATTTCTTTTTTTAACAAAAGGATAAGCTTGGAAAAAAAGCTCCTGTTTAAATGTGGCAATGTTACAACGAAAAAAACGCTTAAGCCAATGTAAGGGACTTTTTACCCTCGAACTCACCGGCGTCTTGCACTATCTCTACTTTTGCTTATTTTTCAGAGAAAAGTGACTTTTTGAAAGGGGAAAGGTGTTTTTGGATATAGCTATTACAAAGACTAATAGCAAGAATACCATAACACGGTAAAGTTTGCGGCGAACTTGGAGTTTAGAATTCCGAAATGTCATTTCATCTGGATGTAAACAAATCGAAGACCTGTTTCATAGGTGGGTCTTTTTTTTTTCTTGTTTTGTGTCAATATGTCAAATTTATTTAATTTAACTATTAATAATGCAATTATAAACACTTAAATATTGTTATATTATAATGTCACGGGCAAATGATTTATTGCCTCTCTAGGGAAGTACCTTCTCCCATCTTACATGGTTACATAGCAAACATTTTTTTAGGCAACCCCCTCACCCCACTCCTCCCTTGCCTAAATGCCTTTATTGTGTGTCATTACAACTATTATAAGGGATTCTCAAAATTAAAATTTAAATGATAGAAATACCAAATATAGTCTATAGAAGTGAAAAAAAAAAGAAAAGAAAACAAAGTCTGCCAAGCTCCTCATCACATTAGCAGTTAATATTTGGCCATCAAAACCATATACATTTAGGGCAGAGATCCAATTGTTCGTAAACGAATTTAACTGTGTTTATTTATAAAGCATTTTCTAAGGAGATCTCATAGAGTCTTTAAACAGACACATTTATTATGTATATATGTAATTTTTATAGGAATATATTATAGCTTAAAATTGGAAAAATAATCAATTCAGTAGTCAAATATTTCTATGTGTAGATCATTTGCAGAATAATGTTAAATTTATACCCTAATTATTACATTTCAATAACTCTATCAAATTATAACAATAACTTACCAGTGGCAGCAGCAGCTTCAGTACCTTCTTCATTAACTTCAATAAATGCTTTTTGTACAACTTTGCTTACTTGCAGTGCTTCATCACCTTCAAGTAATTCAGAAAAATCAGCCTGGTCTCCAAATATTATGTCAAGACCCGCCTTAAAATGCAGAAATATTAAAATTAATTATCATTCTAAACATTTAAATCGCAAAAGATTACCTTAGAGAGAGGTTCATTTAATTGAATTGTGTGTTCAATTTTGAACTTTGGCAATTTAACAATCACATCAACTTTGAACATATTTTCAGTTATTTTGGTTAAATCTGTATCAAACAGTTTTTGTTCCAGTTCAGCTATTCCATCTCTCTTATTTGGTAAGATAATTACCAGGCTAACATCCTGATTTGAATAAGGCATCTCAAGAATTTTTGCATCTAATTTACTGTCTTCCTTGAAAAGATATTTGTCTTTATTAAACATCATTTGGACATCAACGGTATCATTCTCATTCAAATAAAATTTTTCAGTTTGTGTACGTTCTGGATTAAACTTATTCAACCACATGCCTTTGAAGTAGATTGCATTTACTAGTATTAATCTAGTGAGGGCATCAAGATCCCCAGGATTTATTAGGTCTTTGATTTTGTTATTAGTTTTATGTTCAACCCATGAGTTGATCTTTTCTGCTGCTTCTTTACTTTGCACAAAATCAACTGCTTCCACTTCTGCAAGGAAATGTTTCTCAGTCACATCTTTGAATGACTGTTTCAAATTTCTTCCTTGCTTCACATAAACTTTGTTGGCCATTAGCAACTGAACATCAGAAATGTTGTTTAAGTGTGCCAGGATATCTTTGTAACCAGTAGCTGCAACATCACTGTCTACCACATTTAAAGATTTAGCAAAAGCTTCTTTAGTTGCTCCCTTAGCTCCTTGGAATGCCAAAGACAATATGGCATGCACACTGATTGGTGAAAAAAATACATTTCCTTCAGTTTTGGATAATATGCTGTATAGCTCTTTGGTAAACAAGCTGTTTCCTTGAATGACAGACTGCAATTCTTGCTTATTTGCCATTGTCAATGTGGTAACTGATAAAGCAGTAAATATGGTAAAAATAAACTCTGTAAATAAAAACATTTTTTAATTCCAAGTAGTTTAAACAATGGCAATGTGGTAAAAGTATTATAGTAGGTAATATATGTGTTTGTTAAGGTATACATAAAATACAAAAAGGATTGTACTGTTTTCAAGACACCATATCGAAAATGTCTAGAATTTATCAACGGACCTCCAAAATGCTTTGCAAAAATTTAAGTGAACAATAATAAATTACAGAACTCTATTACATATACCCTAAAGTACTTAATTGACATCAAAGCAGTTTGATATTCAAAATGTACCATGTAATGTGAATAGAATAGATGAAATGTTTTTTTTTTAAATAAAAATTTGCAACTTTTACAACAAATTAGAAAGGCATTTTGAGAGATTTGACTTTTAATTATCGCTGAAAATATATGAGCGATTAAAATCCTTCATGTAAGTGGTATTTGTAGGTATTTAATTCAAGGATTTAATTATCAAGCTTGGTATATTTCTTAAACATAAACTAAAAAAATCAATACATGTACATCTATAACAAGGCGTAGTCCCAAAATGCCGGTTAAAAGTATAATTAACCAAAAGTAAGCTTAAATACCTATTGAATAAGCCGTCTTCTTGGTCTTATTACGCCAACCACAATAAAAAAACGCCCCACTGTCGATAAGCTTCATACGAAATGTGTCAAAATACTTTACGAATCGACCTTGACAGCAACAAATTTTATGGAAGTTCGGGTATTTCCAAAACAAACAATTCAAAATTCCATTCGGATAAATTATCTTCCCCTTAAAATCCACAGAACATTTTTCTACTTCTTTACTTTCCGTAATGTGAAAATATACTACAAAGGCCATTGGCCCATCCATCCGTCCATAAATTGACGCCTAGTTGACAATTGTATGAGTACATAACCAAGATAAACGAAAGGGATAGTTATTTCAGCGATTTATTTGTGTTCATTTGTTATTTGTATAAAAGAATTAAATTCTTTCGCCTTTTACTTTGGATATTAATGCAATACTTTGCCTTCTTAAAGCAAATTTACTGCTTTCAAAACCCAATTAAAAGCACCAAAAGGCTAAAATGGAAGAATTGTTTTGCCTATGGCCTTGTGACGTCACTATATCAGTATGGGCACGCGTTAAACTGTCCCTTAAAATTGACAACAATCAATTCTAAAACTTTGTCGAGTCGAAAAAACCTATATGAAACTGTTCGACGTAGTCTTGCCTGTCATTCAATTTATTTTTCGAGCAACATCCTGAGAGTATCTTCTAATATATTTGCCCACTCTGCGTAGTATGGTTTGAGTCTTTCAAGTATCTACAAATTTAAACTCTTGTACGTTCTTCGAAAATTTAAAAAAACTAAAATGCTGTTTAAAATTGCATAGTAAGCTAACCATGCCAGATTTTGAGTTCAGTAGAGTGTAATACAGGTAAGGATCTGTCACCAGACAGTTTTCATATATATCACAACTAAATTTTAGCCTTTCTAATTCTAATTCTAATATTGGAACATTTTTTATCTTTAAAATTTCATTTGGTTCATTATTTGGTCACCATTTGTGAATTATTCTGCATTGTGCTGCATTTAGCTAGAGGAACGTGTAATACGATTAAATAATAATGAAAAAATTATGCTGCCAAATTGAAGCTATTTTTTACGAGATCGGTGAATTTGATAAACATTAAACTAATAAATCTTGAAATCTTCGAATGTTCTGTCAACATTTTGCTTAGAACACCTTGCTTGTTAAGACATTGATCATTTGGAATGAACAAACGTTTATCAATACATATTTTTAAAATTTGCAATCAACTTAGAATTTTGCGCAGAATACAAAAACATAAAAACTACATTTCAAGTTGTTATGACTTTTGGATGTTTATAATTTATTACGAATGTCAATTCAGTGGCGTAGACAAATTCAATAATAAAAATAATAAACTTTTGGCAACGAAACAAAAATAAATAAAAACGTTTTGTAGAAGCGTCTTTTTTATACCGCATGGCGCTTGTTCTAAATTGATCTTAAGCCGTTAAAAGTTATGCTGTGTTACATGTAAACTTTAACACCAAGCAACGATGCAATTTTAATTAGACATTTGCTAATTTTCCATTTAGACCTCCTTTGTTAGTTTTGGTTAGTTTGTTAGTAGGATTCAACCGGACTAAATTTTTTTTATCCGATATTTTTAATAATTTCAAGTGTTGTCAACATAATAAGTAAATTTTTCTGGAGGTTAAAAACGATGATAAAAAAGGTTAGGGGTCACTGGATCAAATTAAGTTAAAACAATATCTTAACTCGCGTGGTTATGGTCATTTTTTCAAATTTTTGGAAAAAACATAAACAAGAGAGAAGTTTATCTGTTCAGGGAATCAAATTAGAGGCTATTTAGAAATTTACCACCAAGTAAATTAGTCACTTAAAAACTCCACATAGCTCTTACCCACGTTTGCCATTCCTGTATTCTTATGTGTAACCTCAGCAACCCGTAGTGGTAAATTGTTCACAAAGTAGGTAGATTAAGGCACATTCACATATTATCATGTATTAACAAAATCAACACCGAGTATAGTTAACCAGTTCCCTATCCATAGACGAGAGTGAATGATTAAATTCTTATTATCGCGCGTACTACAATCTCGACAATATGGCGGACGCGATGTCCTGCTCTCTTATAGATTTGGTTGATTGATTGAAGAAGGGAGCAAACAACTGTTAACGAACAGTTTCTTCTTAATATTAGAACCAAAATTACAGTGGAGTACTCTATCATTCACGAATTTTAAATAATCAATGATCAGTGCTCCATTCGTGGATGACTTAAAAAATGAATATTTTATAATCGCGCTTTTAACACTACATAAAATAATGGTGGTAAATAACACAATATTTTGAGGCAAAAAACACAGGTTTCAGATGACCCTGTGCTGACTATTGTAATGTATGTAATGTATGTAATGATGGAGATAAAAACCTGGTACGTCAAAAATTAAACAAAACTACAAAACAGATTAACGATCAAAGTGCATACAAATATGACAAAAATGAATCTAGAAACTTAAACTATTGAGAATGAAACCTGGCGAAGAAAGTTGATCGGTACATATCACCGTACAGCAATCGTGTTTGAAAGAAGTAGCATGTAAAAAACAATATTGTATCAAAAATACTCCACTGTATCATTGAAAAGTAGACGAAAAGCAAACTAGCAAAGAAAATCAATAAATCGAAACAGACAGAATTAAATCTATCGAATAGTTTTTATTCGATCGTTTTCGGTACTTCAGTCACGGTTTTCGATAGCTACTTAAAGCACTGTTCTGACTATGTTCTGCAATCATCACGTCACTCAGTCGAATGTACTCCTCCGTAAAAAAGTTATAAAAACGTTTATAAACTTGTTATATGATCCGATTTTGTTTTATAAAAAATTCATCGAGTTATTAGATAATAAATAAATATAATAAATATTATTATTTAAATGTAGTATCTCCATTTTTTCAATTATTATTTTAATTTCATCATTTAAAAATAAAAATTGAATGTAGCATTTTGATATTATAAGAGTCAGTTAAGATTTTAAAAGATTTTACCAATAATTTTTAAATAATACCGTATATCAATTTGAGGGCGTTTTTCTCAAGGTTTTTAAAAAGTTAGATTAATGGCAATGTTATTTTATACAAATATTTAAAGAAATTGTGTAAATTATTTTATTAAGAATACTTTTATCGGTAAATAGGATAAAAGGATAAACTAATCAAATAATGAGAACATATTCTCCCATTCATTTAAACGAGCAAAAGAAAGACGGCAATCCCCATTATTAACTTTTTTTTTGGTTTTAAAATTTCCCTCATTTTCTGCGAGTCTCAACTTAATTGTTGACATTTTATAAAGTTCACTCTGACTATCAGTGACGCTATAATACAGGCAGTTTCGTCTAAGTAAAAAAAAAAGCATCAAATTATTTTTCCTGGAGGATTTATTGTTTGTTAATCTGAAAAACCGATTATAAAAAAAATGGAGTTTGCGCTGCTCCGTTTTCCAAACAGGCAAGTGTATTTGAATCAAATTGTAGCGAACTCAAACATCAGAATTTCAACTTAATTTTCCTACTGTGTAGAAAATGGACGAATAAGCAGGACACGAACATATACCCAGTCATAACCAAGATAGCCGTGGGGGCAGCAGCCTCGCGCGTGTCAAACGTCATGTTTACCAAACCAGTCAGCACGTTCCCGATCAGGAAAAAAGCCAAACCGTTAAAATTGATCGCCTCAAATAGCAACGGAGCACACACGTAATTCCGTATTTTGTTGGTAAATACGAAACTTTCAAGCTCCTCGTTTAGATAGAACAAATAACTCATCGAAATCGCTATGAACAGTATCCAAAAAATATAACCGGCACTGGCGATCCTGCGCGAAACCTCAAACCATTGGTCGAACGTGTTCGTTAAAATTAGCGTTAACGTAATCGCGAAGATAAGTTTCGCATGCGTTAGAAGTTTGTTATGCTCCGACTTGAAGACGGTGTAGCCGAAATAAACGGAATACAGATACAGGTCAACGAATCCGAGGATCGATACCAAGCCTTCCCGATTGGCCGATATTAAACCGTCCCGTTTGGCGGTCGAGAAAACGTATTTCTTTAAATAAAACTGCAGCAGCGTTTCGTGGAAACATGTCAGGACAGCGGCCACGATGTAAACGTAGTTTACTCGGACGCAACGCAAAATAAGAGTGGATAGCATTTTCGTCACCGCCAAAGTGAGAAAAAAGTTCCAATGGAGGCCGTATTCGATGACCGACACGTGGTACCCTAACACTTTGGTGGACAAAAACCGTATGAAACCGAGCACCGTCAAAGCCCCGCAAGTCTTCAACGTTCTCCGGATGGATTCCTTTCTCGATTTGACTTCCGGCGAGACGATGCCGTTCGCGAATACGTACAAACCTACACCGGTGTCCATTAGGCTAAAACCTACGGTATGCGTTTTGGAAAATCGGCTCGGGAAAATTTTAAAATCCACAGCCAAGATCGCTACCACGGTTATTACGTTAATTGTGGCTCGGATGTTTGTCACGTAGTCTCGTTTTCCTGTGTCTTGGTAGTATTTCGATTGATTGATAGGAAACATGTTGGGTATGGTCCACACGTACAACAGAATTATCCTCACTAGTATCGATAACGCTGTGATTATTAGAACTATTTTGTGCGCTAATATTGTCGTCGATAAAATTATGGGTATTACTATAATGCAAAATTCAGTAAGAAACAACTTGAAGCCGTTCCGTGGCGACGTTAACGAAGCTATTAATACTGATATGACTAGATAGAAATAAGAGGGAAGTATGACTAGCATTGTTTCAGTCGCTGTCGATCCCATGTTCTGCAACAAAAATGACGAGTTGAAAATTGCGTGGTTGTTTGCCGACGGCTGTGCATATCATATAGCTATTAGATAATAAAGTGGTCTAAGGACAGTAAAAATTGATGCGAAGTATTTTCCGTGCATGTTTCTCAATTTCGCACCCTAGCCTGCATTTACATTATTACATTTAACGTGATCTGGGCATATTGTGAGAAAATATTGATGAAAAAATGCTACATCTAGACTAAGACCGCGCATGCGCTTATTGAATGGCCCTTCTCAACTTTTTTTTTTCATTGTGCCTTCAAAAGTTCCACGTCAGTATAGGCTGGGCCTGTATAACTATCTAGTAGCTATATGGTCTAAGCCAGATGTGGGTATATGCAGCGCTTTCAAAGTCAAATAGTCATTTATTTCTTGGTCGGCGAGAAGCAATGCCGCCCTCAAATTATTCACCCTGTATATTTTTCCATTTTTTCGGCTCGTATAGAGGGGCGTTCGGATATAGTAAACCCGTTTATTGCTGAACACTCCGTTATAATGAACACTTTTTGAAATACACTCAAAAAGTCTCATAAGACAAACGTAAATTTGTTCTGTTTATAGTGAACCCGGATATAGTGAACTTTCGACTGCAGTTTCGTTTTTAATGAATTCCGGTAATTCCCGGGAGAATAAAATGAACTTTTTCGGGGGTTTACCCGGTAATTCCCCGGAGGAACGTTAAAATACATACACATTTGTTTTGTTATTGGTTTGACCTCAGTTGTGATTTAGATTTCGTGGAGAATATTGATAACAGACCTTCAAATGGAGAAGCAAAAACGAAAAGCATTAACTTTGAAAGAAAAATGTTATACAAAAAATTAAAACTGGTATAAAACAAAATGATATTTTTCGTGAAATTTGCCTAAAAAAAAGATAGGACGCTCTCGTCCCATGGTCAAGTGAATGCAAGTTGTAAAATGTTCAGAAAATTATGAAGGCGTCAATAAGGGACTTTTACAGTGGTTTACCCAAAAAAAAAGAAAATGTTCCTATAAATGGTTCAGTTCTTCAGCAAAAAGTAAGTGAAATGGGAAGTAGAATAGAAGGAAGAGATTTTGTGTGTTCCAGAATTTGGATTGAACGTTTTAAGAAGAGAAATTGTATCTCTGGAAGAAAAATTGTTGGTGAGTCTGCATCAGTTGATATGAATGTTGTTAACATCTGGCTCACAACGGTTTGACCTGCTCTTTGCAAAAATTTGATAGTGACAATATTTTTAACGGCGGTGAGACCGGCCTTTTCTACAATCTAACCCCTGATAAGACATAGAAATTCCAAGGAGAAAGGTGTGCAGGTGGAAAATTGCCCAAGGTTCGAATAACAGTTCGAATTACTGCAAACATGTCTGGGACAGAAAAGAGAAAGCTGTTTGTTATCGGCAAATCAGTAAACCCAAGATGTTTTAAAAACAAGACCCTACCAGTCAAGTACAGGTCAAACAGGAAAGCGTGGATGACATCTGACTCTGACATCTGACTTAGCTGCTCCAATGGGATACAGAAGTGAAGAAGAAGAACAGAAAAATTATTTTTCTCGATAATTGTCCAGCACATCCCAATGTTCCATTGAACCAAATCAAAACCGGCTTTTTATTACACCCAATAGCAGTTCAAAACTGTAGCCCATGAATCAACTCATAATCCATTCCCTGAAGGGTCACTAAAGATAGATTTTGCTGATCAAGATGATAGAAGCAATTGATGATGGACAAGAGTTTTCAGTGAGCTTATTTCGTGCTGTAAATTTTATTCACCGTGCTCGGCAGGAAGTTAGCCCTGGAAGCCCTGGAAGCAGAGATTAGGAATAGGATTGAACATTTCGACTTCGAAAGGTACGTTTCAATAGACGATCAAGTTATTCCAACCGAATCTTCGACAGAAGACGAAATTATCCAGTTATCGTCCACAGGTACCTATAACGTGAAATGTAACATTAAAATAATGACTGATTTACGTTATTTTTTTCAGAAACAAATGCAGAATTGAGTGAAGATGAGCTGAACGAGAAGGTTATTGACGAAGTGACCATGATCAATGACCCCTTCGTAAAATACATGACGGACAAAATAATAGATATTCCTGAGAAAGTTTGGAATTCTTTTTGTAATCTTGAAAGCTATATAAGTAATATTAACAGACTCGTACAAACCAAAATTTCCGACTCATCCGATACATGATTTTTTTTTAGTTAATTTTTTTAGATATTTTTGATACTTGTTCTTGTTCACTTGTTACTTGTTTTGTACAGACCCATATTTAATTTTCACTCTTCCAATATTACGTAATACGTAATATCTAGAAAAATGCTAGTATATCGTGGCATTTGTTTTTACATATATTATATATTAAGTAATAACCTCCATTCATCGGGTAAACATCAGGTGTGTACACAAGTTCATTTATTGCTTGTAATAAACCTCGGATACAGCGAACTAATTTTGATGCAACTTTCCAGTTCACTATATCCGGACTTCACTGTAGGTTGAAAATATAGAAATATAGAAAAAAAATTAAAGCAGAGCATTATATCAGATAGAACAAGCAAAGCAGACCTTGTTAATCGACAAAAATGTACAGAAACGGAACTTCAATATTAATCTGAGGGGAGCACAAACGAAAACGATACTATCGTAGGAAAAGATCAGTACAGAAAAAAGCAACAATAGCAAGTCAATTGGGGTATGGAGAACTTTAGAAATTTATTAAGAAAGACTGATGCAGATGTGCGAACAACAAAACTTGGACTCAAAATAGTGGTGACCGACTTAGATTTCGACTGTCTTCATCCCTAGTCTAGACTATGAATAAAAAATTGTGGAAAAGTGTTGGTTAATGTATAAGTATAGAAATAGCTCAATCTCATAAAATAACAATTCAAAAAAATATTCGAAAAACTAAAATCAATCGTCACCGGTGTTTGTGGCTGTTCTAAAGAAAACGGTACGGGTTTACCAAGTAAAGTTCCGAAAATTCAGACAAAGTGGATATTTTCAGGCTACTCGTAGTTAAGTGCAGTAAATAAAAACTAGTTTGTTGTCAATTTAATAACTTTGAGTTTGCATATTAATTGTGAAATCTTATTAAATTTAACGGAAGAAATGTCAATGCATTGAAAGCGGCTACGACATATCGCGCATGCTCATAAATTTCACACACTAACCTGTACTTAATGACAAGCTGATTAAAACAATATATTCGTGTGGAAATGTCTTAGTGTAATTTTAATTAAAGTACAATATTTTTTATTTTAACTAGGTCTAGGACAAAATAGTAATAGTAAGATTTTTTTTCAAAATTTACAACCTATTAGCCAAGGAAACGAAGAAGTAAACGGCTCATATAGAAGGGTTTAGCAGATTAGAATTTAAAAACATTTTCGGATTAATATTTGCACTCAAATCGGGATTGTCACAAATATTTTAAGAGATTTTGATGACTGTTTATTAGACTGCATACGAGAATAGAAACAAAACTTTTGTTTTGTTTTTGACTTTTTAATTTTCTTTTTGTTTTATACATTTCACTCTTTTGTTGTGGTCTGGAATTAAGGTATAAGGTTTAGCGCACATTAAATATTACGTAAATTGAACTGAGGTGGCTTTTACTTGATGAAAATCAGATTTTCACGAAATTATACATATCCACATGACAATTGTCAAACAATTGTCATGTGAATATATACAGGGTGCGGCAAAAAGGTAGGCAGGATTTCAAATAGTGGTTGTTCGGTTTGTAAAACCGGCAACACTGTGTACGCACTCGCGTTAGGCAGACAAAAGTACGCAATTATGTTTCGTTGTCGAGGAGTTTATTAGAAATGGGGAATCTGTAATAGCGACGCAGCGCGCCTTTTGTAATCAGTTTGATGTTGGTCGGCATGACGCGGTTCCGGATGGAAGAACAATTCGTCGGTGGGTTTTACACTTCAGGGACACAGGTTCTGCGCTTAACCGAAAGTCTACTGGCCGACCAAAGACAGTAAGAACACCGGAAAATGTGAATGCAGTCAGAGTTTCCGTACAACGGTCTCCAAGCAGCTCGTAAGCATGCAGCTGCTTTAGAAATTCACGATACAAGTGTTCGAAGAATTTTACACAACTCACTCCAAATGCATCCGTACAAAATGATGGTAGTGCAGGAATTAAGCGCAAGAGATTTTGAAACCCGTACAAATGTATGCCAGGATATTCTTCAAAACATCCCCAGAGGCGCTGTATTCATGTCTAGCGATGAAGCTCACTTTCACCTCTCGGGTACTGTAAATAAGCAAAATTTCCGTCATGAGCGACATCTTCACAGTTCAAAAGGCACTGTCTGCGTGTGGGGTCCTTACTTTTTCGAAGAAGATCGAATAACGGTAACAGTCAACGGAGATCGATATTTTGATATGCTTAACAATTTCCTGCGTCCAAAAGTGAACGAGTTGAACAACGATCAAAGAGCACATCTTTGGTTTCAGCAGGATGGTGCTACATCGCACACAACGCGTCGTTCACTAAATCTTCTTCAAGAAATGTTCCTAAACAAAGTAGTGTCTTTACGGGGTGATCTTGGCTGGCCGCTACGTTCGCCTGATTTGTCGCCTTGCGACTTTTTTCTTTGAGGTTACCTGAAAGCGATAGCTTTCACACATCGTCCGCAGACTTTGGAAGAATTAAAGGCAGCCATAAGACAAGAAATTGCCTCAATTCCCCAAGAAATGATCCATCGGGTAATGATGCGCTTCGGCAAGAACCTACAAGAGTGCATCGACAATAATGGCCGTCATTTAAAAGACATCATTTTTTAAAAATAACGTTCCTAAATGGCACAAAATGTACATTTCAAAAATAATTTAAAAAAATGTTTGCTTTATGTAGTTTGGTTTTTATTAACATCCCAAATAGTACCTATCATTTTGCCGCACCTCGTATAATTTTGTGAAAATCTGAACTTTTAGTTCTTATTTATTTTGTCGTATATTACGTTCTTCTTTCCAATAATACCATGCTCGTTTCTCAAGCACTCGCTCCGCTCGCGCCAAATGAAAATCGTCACTAACATAGCTTTTGTCAAACTTTTTGCTTAACTTACTATTTGAGGGCTGATTGAACATTCTCTAATACCAAGCATAAAAAATGGTATTTCGAAGTTATTCTTAACTCTAGTATCAAGCTGATGAATAACGTGTTTTTTTAGAGAAAATAACAAAGTGTCACGTTGCAACAATTTGATGACATGAAGTTGCTCATAAAATGGCCTGTCATTCCTAACATGGTTATTTAACGTTTCTCTAAAATGTCTAAACATATAATACTAAGCTGGTTCTAGATTCGCCACCAGTTTGATACGCCAAAATTGATACTACGATTTCAAAGTACTGGTACGTTATTGAAAGCTCTCTTAAAACCTTAATCAGTTAAATTTTAGAGATATTTAAAGTTAAGCTTTCGTATAATAATATTAAACTCTGCAGTGTACTACGGGATTAGGTTATTTTCCGAACCCTTTAATATATATGAGAAATACCTATACTCCAGTTGCATGCAAATGAAAGCGCTGCATAATTTTGAATCTTGATCCGCACCAACTTTATAGTTTGTTACCTTATGGAATCTCGAAAGTAACAATACTTTTAACGTGAGTAATACGAAATACGTGTGGTTTTTCGGCAGTTTATCTAATACTGACAATTATAAAACAAAATTTTATCTATCAATATCAAGTTATATGTACATTCTGATTAGATTGATTTTGCTATTATAAACAATATTATTTTAGGTAGTTCCATATAGTGTTAACCTTATTAATGGAAGTAATGTATTCCGATTATCGTGATTTTAATGGTAGTTTTTGAAATTAGTGGCGACATTGACATTAATACTAGTGTCAACCAAAACTATGCGAAAACTTTGTGTATGCTAAAAAGGAAATTTTATGGTTTTACAGGACATATTACAGTGTCAGGCATAGTTTCTTAAACGTTCCGATGTTTTGGGTTTTTGTGTTTTTGTAATGCTTGATAACTTACAGGGCATGCATTCGGAAAGCATCCATTAATTACTCGGGGTACCCGAAAATATACATTCTGGGTTCTAAATTGAAACAAGCCCGTAACCTTTAAGAAGATGCTAGACTTTATACTCTGGATCCAACAATAAAGTTGTTAAGTTTAACAGGTATCTCTAATTTAGTGAAAAAGATTTCTCATTTGACACAAAATAGCTATTTAATGTTATCAAAATAAAAAAAACTACCGCATTTTGAGGTCGTATGGAAATTATCCTTTAGTAATTTTCGCAGAATTCGATAATAGATTCTAAATCTTAATTATTATTTTTTTAATTATTAGTTTTATCACAGACACGAGAAATGTAACTGACCGTGAATTAAAAAATATATTGTGTACTTTGCTAAAATAAAATTATACTGTCTTGTTTCAAAATTGGCGACTGATATATTCGTAGGTGACATTAGAAAAAACGTGTAGGCACCAATGATCGGACCTATTCCTGACAGATTAGTATTTCACGACGTTAACAACCATTACAAAAAATAACTACCTGCTGTTACAGGCATTTCTTGAATGGTCATAAAATTGTTCGGAACTATTAGACATTCTGAAAGTGGAAAGGGGGCTGCAGATTTTATAATATTTTTAGATATAATAGTATATTATGTCACAAGTGTAGTAAACGGCATTTCAATCGCGAGTGACTTAAAAAGTTTACCGAACGTGTTGCACACTATACTTTTTCTACGACCGTTAGTTCTTGGGTACATTTTCGCAAAACAACACGAAGACATTCACTGACATGACCTTCAGCATTGACAAACGTCAAAATTCAAGGCGTGAAAAATATCTCAGAAAACATCCGATTGCTCCCAAACCCGTAAAATCCCGGAAATGTCCGAAGTGGCTCGGATCCGTGAGAAACGAAACTGACGTGGTAAAGTGACGCTTCCCGCATGCTACATCGGTGTCTAATTAGGTATTTTACAGACGGAAGTAGAACAATATATTTGCAAAAAAAAATTTGGCTAGCATTGAAAAATTTCCATGCCATATGATGTAATATTGTCGTTCTAGGCATGGTATCAGTTGATTTTAGGCCTCAAGTACGAGAAATTTGACAAGCTTCACTAAACACCGATAGCGATAGATAATATTTGGGCAGTAAAAATCCTGCTTGGTTCCAGGGAAAAATATTTGGGATCATAACGATAAAATATTCAAGACGAATTTTTGATCCATTTTGTCATCATTCTAATTTGTCTCATTTTTAGTTGTCCGTCTAATCGTTGGAGCAACATATATCTAAAATGCAATCTAATAGAGCTTTTGTAAACCCTTTTATTTTGCACATGAAATCATAAATTATTATTAGATACGTAATGCCGTCTAATGATAATTTTGGGTTAAATTATTTATCGGTGACATATTCAATGAGTAAAAATAACATTTTATCTAATCCGAATTAAACATTTTTATTAAAGGAGTAAAAGATTAACTCCCTTATCAGACTACAATACCGTCGCGCATCAGAATCGTTTTAGTACACTCGAAAAAAATTTCTCCATCCAAACGGAGAAAATGGATTGTAGACATGATTTTAATAAGGAACATGAATTATTAAGATGAATTAGTCACCGCATGACGAGAGATGTAGGTGGCAATGGGCAACTGGGGTCAAATAAGTTTAATAAATTGTTTGTAGTAACCCAATTTCTTTAAAACAATATTGTAAAAATATAGTCGTGCTCGCGCTCAATATTGGATAGAAATTATTGCAGTAGTAAATGTAGGAAAACTATAAGCGAACAAAAATTGCAAAGTTTTTTGACGACGACCATGTATTCCACTAAAACATTTTTCTCTTCTCTTTTTTTATTATTAAAAAGTAAGGCAACTATCCCGGGTTAGTATAAAATGTCCCTTTAATATCTAAAATACTGCCACGTTTTACGTTACACGTCCCATGTGGAATTTAGTGAGGTCTCATAATTTCAAAATTTTGTTTCAATTAACCGCAAAACTGCTTTTTCAGTAAAAAATACTGGAACGTTTAAATATCTTCAAAACCGCCAATACAAAATACAATACCTGGGAGTTTTTGAACATGCAGAATTCAAAAATGCTAACAGCAGCATTGTCAGATTTACCACTTCAAAAGAAATCTTAACATCTCAGAATTTTGGAAGTTTCTGACTATAGGAAACTTTAGAAGTTGTATCAGTGGAAGGTTACCAGAATTATAAATTTCATGGCGAAATCTGAGGACATTGCTGTTAGCATTTTTGTATTCTGCATGTCCAAAAAACCCTAGGTATTGAATTTTATCGTTCCAGCTTTGGCAGTTTTGAAGATATGTAAGCGGTCCTGTATTTTTTACTAATCCGGTATGTATTTAGTCAGTTCTTAATGCCACTTTGTAGCACTCTCCACAATTAACCAAAATAATGAATAAAATGAAACGTATATACTTTTCGGCAACTAAACTTAACTAAAATAGTTTTTAATGCATAATTTCTTTTTAAAACTAGTATAACACCTTTTACCAAAAATCTGTGTTCTGGATTACAGCATTCTTTCCATTTCTACTTTTTCCATACACTCCATAGGTAGCACAAGGTACCTAATTCATTTTTAAAGCATGTGAATTTGACACACGACACTATAGATTACTAATCCCTAACGGTCTCTTCGAAAATAAAAAAAAACAACTCTCAGTTTATATAAAATAATTAAAGGAAATGAACAAAAAACTAAATTTACAAAACAATTAATTATATCTATTATAACATATTCTACTTACGTCAAATCTAACTTGTTTCGTCGTCGATAGCAGTGGCAACCGTTTAACTAAAATTTGGTTGATAGGAATTTTCAAAAATAAATGTTATCGTCGAAGATAAAGATGTCAAAGATAACTTGTTCGAAGAAAAAACTACTTCATATTTTATTATTGATTCAGAAAATAATTCTCTGATGACAACAACCACGCGAATCAAACCGAATATTAGGTAACGTTTAACTTGAATACCGTAAGGATTTGTCGATTTAATGCTTTAAAGCGGATAGTAATATTGGTCTATTGTTCAGAGTAAACATTATAGCAAATTTACGGTAACTAAATCCATAAAATTGTGCCTCAGTCGTTACATACGTAATTTGACAAAAAAGTCATTGGGAATACCCGGAATAATATACTTGTGATATTTTAAAATCGTACTTAATAATCAAGATAACAGTTTAATCGTTTACGTATTTGATTCGCAAATTAATGAAATAGTATATTATGCAACAAGTGCGGTAAAAGGCATTTGACTCATGAGTTTATTTGACACGAGCGGAGCGAGTGTTTAATAAACGAGTGAGTTAAAAAGTTTACCGAACGTGTTGTATACTATACTTTTTCTACTACCGTTAGTTTTTGGGCACATTTTTGCAAAACACGAATACATTCACTGACATGAATGTCAGAATTGACAAACGTCAAAATTCAAAGTGTGGGAAATATCTCCGAAAACATCCGATTGCTCCTAAAACCGTGCGGTAAAATCCCGGAAATGTCCGAAGTGGCTCGGATTCGTGGGAAACGAAACTGACGTGGTAAAGCGACGCTTCCCGCACGCTGGATCGGTGCGTAATTAGGTATTTTACAGATGGGAGTAGAAAAAATTGTATTACTACCATTACTATTATGCAACAAGTGTTTCCTAAATTTTCTTTATGCTTCCCTCTTTATGCTCTGTTATAAATAGAAATCCGAAAACCTTAAGATAGTTTAGTTAAATGAAATCTGAGAATTTTTGCGGCAATTATCTGATGTTCTTGCTATTTTTTCTCTCCTTTCTGTAAAATAAAAATATTTTGTTCTTTCTTGGACCATCGAAAACCTTTGTGTAATCAATTCAGTTTAGTTAATAATTAAAAATGCCGACGGTCCATCAAATTGAACTAAATATCTAGTGATCTCCGCATTTTAGTTCGGTGCTTTAATCAGAGGTTTGGGAGCCGGATAGTTTCGCTAGGTTTTAGCCAATAATGGTAACGCCACAAGTCAATTCTAATTAATAATTTAGGTCTTACTGACACATTTTCAATAATTTTTATAAATAATAGTTTAGCGGCTAAGCCTATATATAGTATAAATAGAAAAAATAGAACTTCTAATTGAAACATTATGCAAATTACATATTTACATAGGAAATGACTCCCATGTACGAACTAGAAGATGAAATTTTGAGTTTAAAGTTTAATTGGTTTAGATTAAGTTAATAAGCGCACCGTTGCTTCGGGTTGAGTAGAAAACGAGCTTTTACCACTTTAATCTTAAGTAATAACAATTGCCTGCGTTTTCCTCGTTAGTAATACTGACTTGTCTACTGAGTCATAGCGGTGCGAACCCGTTACGAAGCGAGTTTGGAAAAATGCGGACTGCAGTGTATTTTGTTGTTGTTTTTTGTGTTGCTTGTTGCTTAGCGGATTATTTTCAGTCGTCCAGTTATTTCTGTAAAGATCAGACGCCACAGAAAATTGTCGATATTACCCAGGTACGTAGAATGTAAAGTTCATACAAGAAAAACTTAAGCCACCCACAAGTCGGAGAAGATGCTGTTACTCTACTAATCCGCAGGGCTAGGTTATTATCTACACTGAATCTATCGGATTGCTCGGAGATGCTCAAACTAATTTTTGTGAATATAAGTGCTTCGAATTTGTCGTACAGCTTTGCCCGTTTTACAATCACCTAATATTTATTATATGATTATAATTCTAAATTTAAGGAGTAAACCGAAGTAATTAATCAAATTAAGTCAGAAAAAGAGAGCCTATGTACCCAAAGTCTAATTACACATCATCACACAATCAAAATGTCGCTTTAAGACATCAGTTTCGTCAAACAATGTCGCTAGCCACTTGGAACGTTTTGGGTACTATAATCACGGGTTTGGCGCAATTGCTTGTTTTCGTGGTCGATGATTCATGTAATTTTGACGTTTATTAGTTCTGATGCTGAAGTCCCACGCCAGTGATTATATTCATGATGTTATAAAAAAATGTAACCTAAAACTAATGGTAGTCGTCAACATATAGTATTCAACATATCATCAAACTTTATCATAGTAACTCCACTACGCTCGGTATAGAGCAACAGCAGCATATCGTTATTACTATATAATTGTTTTTAACAAATTATTGAAATTAATTACATTTACCACAAAATTTGCCAGTTTTTAGTTTTTTAATTATAGTTTTAATTACTTTATTGGAACTCACCTTTCGAGTTTTGATTTACACTTTTGCATAATAAACTCAAATAAAAAATTAGGAAAATCATGAAAATGAACAGAACCATGAACGCCTAAATATCTAGCCACTAGTTCTGTGGACTCACTTTTCCTTTTATTTTCATTAACTAAATTCTAGCTCTTCAGAATAAATTATTCAATTAAAAATCATTTTAGTTCCTGCAATACAACGTCCTGTAAAAGTAAAAGTTCGAAATTGTGAAATAATTCTCCAATGGTGCGTTAATTTTAATCTAAAAACCTCAAAACTGCAAGAGTTGTAACTCTATCAATCGATGACGAAGCAGAAGAAGAAAAAAGTTCAATTTCTACGTAAAAAATGAGTACCCTTATTAAGGAACTTAAATTCACAAAATATTACTGCCCTCCTATACGTACGCAGTTTAAGTTGTAGGGTTGAATACAGTTAAAGAAATAGTGGTTTTTGAGTTTTAAAATAAATTTTTAAAGAAAAAATACAGTAATTTTCGTATTTCCTTTTTGAAATTAAATTTAGCTTTAATGGGTAATACCAGTATATTCCCGTCTAAAAGGAGTAGATTTTAGTAGCTTCAATGTGGCACTACAGTTAAGGTTTAAGTAATTAAGTAATTAAATATAATTTCATATTTCATTTCATTTCATCTTTTCATAAACAGTTATTTCATGATTCAAATTTTCAAGATTTGTAGTTTACATAAATATTCTTTGTTTTAAAAAGAGGATAATACAAACCAATATGTATTATAAATTTTGTAATAAGTAAGACAGTTGATATGACTTATCTCAATATTTCAGTTTTTATTTTGCTAAATGACTCATTTTCTCGGAACTATGCCACTTTGCCGATTTGCCACTATTCCAGTGAGATATATGTTCTCGTGCCATTTCACATTTTAAAGGCTAGGAAGCCTTTTGATAGTATTATTTTGTCTTTTAATGGAATAATAAATGTCGTTTGAAAATAAGTTTTCTTTTATAGAACAATACTAACCAACTGACCAAAACAAATTAAATGTTGGATTGAGACTTGTAATGGAAGTAACTATTATTCTGTTTTATTTACCGGTTGAACTACATTTTAAATTTACATTTATCAAAAATCGAAAATTCTAATCATACTCATAAGTTGAAATAAAGAGATCACTTAAAGAAATGATTTTTCACAAATTACAGTGAGTGTTTAGGTTCATATGATAGAATCGAAAACTTTGAAACTGGACGGTAGAACTAAATGAAAAATGTATGTGGATTGCATGAAATATACATATATTTTGGTAGTTTTAAATGTGCAGTTAAATTTCGAATAAGAAACATTTGTAATTAAATTTCAGTTGGAAGGAATATGGTACGTCTTAGAGAAAATTATACACACAGAAGAGAGACACTACGTGAGAAACATATCTACATGTCCGATAGTACACATTTCGGAAGATCGCAGTCAGTTTACGACATTTAACCCTCTTCACAAGACTTACGACACCACATATGGATCCGGTTATCCTTACAACACCAATCCGTACGACACAACAGGCAGATATCCAATCTCGAATCCGTACGACCCTTCCAACCGTTACCCCACCAACCCCAACGACTATTATAGACAAAAAGAACAGTATGACAGGTACGTGTTTTGAAAACTAAAAACGCTTACCTTTTGTTCCGCGGAGAAATGCAATGACAATGTTTTAGATTGACAGATCATCAATTTCAATTTGTTATTTATTAACCTAGATCGATGGATGCCATTTTCATAAAATATTTTAGGGATTGCGACACTTGGCACGGTGATGCGTAAATGAAACACCGTGTATAATATTGCTTTTTCATTTTGTCTTCATCTGTTTTGAGATTCTTGTCATTTGCTTATTGTAATAATTGATAATTAATTATACAGGTTGATCAGAAAGAATAAATATTACATTGGAAAAACTGTCGAAAAAATTCCGTTTCCGAATGTTATTATTCAATTCTTACCATGACATTATATACATCAATACAAGCTTTAAAATAAAACCAATATTGGAAAACTATAAAATTTTGAACAATCCTTGGAATAAGCAAAGTCAATTACTACCAAATCAAATGTTCAAATGTTCCAAAGGTGCAAGAAGAGTGTGTAAAAAATGTCAACCCTGTATTAGTTGCTAAAAATATGATGTGATTGTAAGAGTTTTGTAACTTTGAAACCGTATATTGTTGGATTAAAAACTTGTTTCTTCTTTCTTATTTCTACCCCTTACCTACTTAGCGCTGAGATAGTTATTCTTTGCATATTCTTTGATAAATTGTATATATTTTTTTACCCTCGAAGGCAAACCACGTACAGTGTCGATCATCCCCGTTGGAGGGGCAGCCACAAAGACTACATTCAACATTTATACGAAATGAGATATCTTAGACTATACTGGGACGACTATGGATACAGTACCGAATACCACTTACGGTATAACGTCAGCAACACGGGATATTGGATCAGTTCAGGACCAGATGGTAAAATAGCAAAAATATAATGCATTTTCAAAGTTAGGTCCCGATAAAATTTAGGTTCCGATCCAAATCGCGTGGTGGGAAACGTCCAAGTGATCAAAGCAGTAGGTCATCACTTAGTGCTTACATTTTGTCATCGATTAGAAGGAAAAACGCAACTGTTCACCGCTATTTTGTCGAGGGAAAAGAGGTTACAGAAAACAGACCTCTTAGGAGTACATGGTCTATTGACGTGGCGGGATTTAAGCACCAACGCGGTAGAAAGAACATGCAGCACTGGATTTAGTATAAACATTGCGGCACAAACCTATTTTATTTGCCTTTTAAGTGTATTGTGCTCTTTCAAGCTTTAAAGTGACGAACTGGAGTTTTAAAACGGCGCTGATTATTATAGGTTTTTATAAAACCTTGCTTGACACTGTGTGGCGAGTTGTGTAAAATTTATTAGAATATATATTTAGCCATCAAATTACACTGATTTCGTTAAAAACTTTGTGTTTTAATTCTATTAGAAAATTTAATTGTATGGTAATTAGTTAAGTACTTATTACACTGCTTTTTACTAAAAATAAATAAGAAGTCGCGAGTCCACATTTTGTAAATTTCTTACAAGGTTACTGCTGCGCCAAATTTGGCCAAACTAAAAATAAAATAGAACAAAATAAATAAAAAATAAAATAAAACTTAATAACTTTCCGTTTTCCGCAGAAACAAAAACGAAGTTCCAACGTTTATTCCGTCGTTAAAATGTGAAGAAAATTCGGTATCAAATGTCATAAACTTACAGGCACGAGTTATTCGGTTGTGAATATTTCGCCAATTAAATTTCAAAACGTTACCACTTAGCTATGCTGGTAAAAAGAACAATGTAAAATTAACTAAAACTATGTGTGACAGAACACAAAATCCGATAAATTGGCAGCCTTAATACACGGAACACTTAAACAAAGAAAAAATGCCTTATATTTTGCCAGTTTTCAGGACAGATACCGACATACTTGATTCGAAAAAGCTCAGCACTTGCATTTTTCAACACCATTGCCATATAAGTGCCATGAAGTTTTATTTTATAGCGACAAAACGGAGAATTACCGATAACTTTTGAGTGCGCCACTGAATTTAACTCCGAAGGATGCTCTAATAGTTAAGTTACTGACAAGTTTCACAGCCAACGAAAATTCAAAAATCTTGGTGGTCAGTGAAGATGTCGCCATGTATTTTTTACCATTAAATTTCCCAAAAAATGAGCTCGTGATATTCACAGAGATTCACAGAAATTTTCGAGAAAAATCTACGACTACATTCCAATGTTTAAGTTTAGTTTTTGATGAAAATCACAAATAGTTGGCGTCTTTCTTGTTTTTCTGAAGTCATCATCCTTAGCCATGGTCGTTCGCAAATATGAATGTTGAGCAAATGTGCAAAAAGAAATGAGGAAAAGGTGCCTAACTACGATATTTTAACTTTTACGGAAAAACCAAAATTTTGCGTACTTTTATTCATCGTTTGAAAACAGGAAGGAATTTTTACAACTTTTTTGGGTCAACGCCAACGCGCAACAGCATTGTCGGTTAGAATATTTTGTTAAATACATCAAATTGTTTATTTAAATTTAAATTTTTTTTGGATTATCGACAACAAAACCTTTAAAAAGTTTATTTTCAACATTTTTCTTTATAATTGATTAGATGTATTAAAATAGTCGAGCTCCTTTGTATATTTCTAGTTTCGGAAAGTCAAACGTCCAATGGACTGTATACAATTTTTGATGGAGTTTATCCCTGGTTTGAAATACAACGAAGGAATGAATATTCTATGTGACATTCAATCCTGCACAGAATTGAGGGAAACACGCAATCCTTAATAAATTGAACAAAACGACAAAGGTAGGATGCCATGCGCATCTGCAGTTTTATGTGGAAACTATCGATTTCTCTTCCACCCATGCTGGTTTGGTTACGAAAGTCATGAATTTTCAAAAAAATATATATATATCGAATACCCCTAATTTAACGGTTTGTAACGAATGTCAGTTTCTATGAAAGGCAATGACATTTCGATTTACCACTCCCCATTCAGGAATTCACATAAAGCTCGACAAAATGCGCCGGTGTTGACGTCGAGAAGTCCCCCATTACATAGCGATATATTTTTAGCCTACGGAGATGCTAATGCCAGAGCCCGAATATCCATGGTTTATGTGTAAGTTGCTTTTTTTAAATATTGGGATCTAAACCTGTTAGCCCAACAATGGCGTTTATTTAAAAACTACCGAAGATGATTATCCCGGTTCGTGGCAGTTCGGGCGAATTCATGTGATTGTGTTTGATGTGAAATTTGAGTGATGTTCGGTTTCTAAAAATAAGAAGGGTCCAATCGGACTGAAGTTTCAGCTCAGATATTTTAGGTAACGCTATAAGTAAAGTCGCTTGAAATGTTCGATGTGTTGCAAAAATAAGTCACGTTGATAGTAATCAAACTTAATAAAATGAAATAATGCCTAAATTCTACTTCACGAATGATTTTAAGTGGAAAAGAAGGAGTAGCCATCATTTTAGCATATACTAACTCTAGTACAGGCAATTTAATGTACTTATGTACAACGTAACTTTAACCAAAGTTTAGATGTTCAAACAATTACACCAAGTAAAAAACTTCTAGTTAAGAGAGTTCGTTGAAATTCATCCAAAATGTGGTTTGTATTGTTAAACGCATATATTCTTTCTTATAAGACTGTGAAGTACGAAAAAAGTTCCACCCAAAAATCTCTGAGATTTTTATTTTATAAATTGTTTGATTTTGGTTAAAACGGAAGTTGGCAGTTACTTCGTTACTTCAAATGGAAACATGCTACATTATGTTGAAGATTTAAATCCGATTGTATTTTTTTCAGTTTTAAGGTACAAGTGAAATTTTATTCGTATATTCGTTGCAGGCATTTAGATTTCAATATTTTTTATTTGCAAGCTTCGAAATCCAACACCAACAAACATAACAAACTTTTAACTTCGCCACTTATTTGGATAATCGGAATCAAAATATTGTTATATAGAGATGTCGAATATCTATTATATAAGGTTGTTCGGAAAGTCATTTCGTTTTTTCCCGTCAGAGGACTTAATTACGTTTTTTCGAAACCAACTTCACACTTAAGCCGCATAACCATTATATGTCTTGAGAGCTGATATTGCAAGGCTTGTGTGTGAAAAAGTTCTATTAATTCTACGCAGTAGTTTTTGGTTGGTGCCCTTTTAAATATGGAGAGCAATAAGCAGCATTTTCGTCATATTTTACTTTTTTACTTCAGAAAAGGTAAAAATGCTGTCCAAGCTAGAAAAAAATTGACGGATGTGTATGGAGAAGCCGTGTTAACAGTACGCCAGTGCCAGAACTGGTTTGCAAAATTTCGATCTGGCAATTTTGATGTCGAAGATGCACCACGGTCTGGAAGGCCGGTCGAAGCTGACAAAGATGCGATAAAGGCATTAGTTGATGCAAATCGGCGAATAACCACACGAGAGATCGGTGAGAGATTAAATTTGTCGAATTCGACTGTTTATGGCCATTTGAAAGGCATGGACTTAACCTCGAAGCTCGATGTGTGGGTGCCCCATGTCCTTACGGAGCGAAATTTGTGTCGTCGCGTTGACGTGTGTGATTCGCTCCTCAAACGTCAAGAAAATGATTCATTTTTGAAGCGGATTATTACTGGGGACGAAAAATGGGTTGTATACAACAATGTTAAACGCAAGAGGTCATGGAGCAGAAAAGATGAACCGGCTCAAAGCGTGTCAAAAGCCAACATTCACCAAAAAAAGGTGATGCTCTCCGTTTGGTGGGATGTCAAAGGAATCGTTTTTTTTTGAGCTTTTGCCGGACCATACAACGATTAATTCAGAAGTCTATTGTCATCAACTGGACAAATTGAATAATTCACTTAAAGAGAAGAGGCCCTAATTAATCAACAGGAAGGGTGTAGTGTTTCACCAGGATAATGCGAGACCTCACCCAAGTTTGGTCACTCGCCAAAAACTTTTACAGCTTGAATGGGACGTACTGCAACATCCACCATATTCTCCAGATCTGGCGCCTTCCGACTACTATTTGTTCCGGTCCCTGCAAAATTTTTTGGATGGCAAAACCTTTACCTCAAATGAAGATGTCAAAAACCACCAGCCAGCAAGGACCAAAACTTTTATGAGAGGGGAATTATGTTACTGCCAGAAAGATGGCAAAAGGTGTTGGACCAGAATGGCCAATATATAATTTAATAAAATATTTATTCATTATACGAAAACTGTCTTTCATGTTCCCCAAAAAAAACGAAATGACTTTCCGAACAACCCAATAATATATTAGTTGTAACTGTTTATCGTTGTAAATTTCTTGTCGGGTTTTGGTTTGGTTAATATACAGTGTATTGCCTGGTGCAACGTTACGCTCACTAGATGATATAGCAAGTTAAACAAAAAAAAACTCGTTTATTTTTTTTAATTCCCTGCCGCTGTATTTTCAGACATAAAACCCAAGTAAGCCCGACCCATTATGGCTTTGGTGATGCTACCTTCTGATCTTCCCTGGTGGGATTCGGTAAAGAAGCAGTTAACGAAAATAGAGAACACTAAAAACACCACCGAGCTCATCGAAATCATGCAGAAAATATACGAAATGTGCAAGTAAATATACTGGTGAAATATAGTACACAACGCGATTCACTTTCGGTGGCAGGTTAGACGTTTAGGGAAAAACGAAATTATTCTTAGACTGAATGAATATAGTATATCTAAAATATTTTCACTAATGCGACGTTGCCGCTGCTTCAATAAATTGTATGTTAATGTGGTTTTCGCTACTCTAGTAGTTAGAGGTATTATATGTATAATACTACTTCTGTTTTCGCAAAAATAATGAAATGTTAATTAAGAATACGTTAGAAATTTTGGACGTTTCTGACAAAAATTTCATTTAAAATCGAACTATGCTAAAATATTTGAATAAAAGATTTTTTAAGCCAACTACAAATTAATTCTTGTCTACACAGAACTTGGTAAACTACAGCCCAAAGTCACATTTACCTAAATGAGCTTACGTGTTAATATAAAAATACAGAAAATAATTAATTAATCATTCAAAAACCGTCGAAGAAAAAGAATGAAAAAGAGTTATGCAAAAGAGTACAGTTTTTTAAGCCGCATCTGAAATATTTTAGATGAACTAAGCAACATCTCTGCACGACCAAATTTTAAGAAAAATCCCAAGTTTTCGCAGTGAATGACTCAGGCTTTGGATGCAGAAATACTTATTCTTATGATTATGCATAATTCCACGAGACATAGGCACCACATAAATATCTCATTTCCAGCATAAGTTTGGATCCGGAGGACGATACAGCGGATCCAGAACAGTTTGTGGGATTACTGAATTTTCTAGACAACGATTTCACATCCGAAGAAAGAAGCAACTTTATAAAGAAAACCTTGCCAAATATCACTAAAAGGGCTCTTATGATAAAAGACTTTAGGCCAAAGGGTGGCTTACATTTCAGTTTGCAACAGCAAGGTAATATTTATATGTATATAATTCGGGTCATCGCTAGTTGGGAGTTCATTCGTTTTTATATTTTAGCGGACGAGACAGAATTACAATATTCATTTGTATCATCATTGTTAGCTAACGCATTTTTTTCCACATTTCCAAAAAGAACCGAAAAAAGTCATCCCACGTTACAGAACTTTAATTTTGCATCTTTCCTCAAGGATTTAGGTAGCAATTCGCAAAAATCCAAATTGAAAAGTATTCTGTATTACTTTGACGTATTAGAAAATAATGAAGAATCTGAGGGCAATATTAAAATATTTCGACAGGTAAGACACAATAACCCAACACAATGTCGACTTAAATAGGTAATATATTCTGGTCAATTTGGGCCCTGGGTGGTTAAATTAACTAGATTTCTCACTTTTTACCCATACCCATACTACTAATATATAATATTCTATAAATAAAAAAGTAATTTTCTAGTTTTCTTAGAAAATATGATTACATTATTCTCCAAAAAAGTACTTAAATCGCCAGGAGTCGCAAAATCAAATTAGAACTTGTATCATTATTTATTCAGGAAATTCTTTATATTTTCCTCTATCGAAGTCCAATTTAAAGGATTTTATGAATAATAAGTATTTCATAAACTTTAATGTTCTATTCGTTTGTTTTGGTTAGTTTTGATTACAAACTAGTGCAAAAAGTAAATCATTTGTTTGTTTGACCGGTCGTTTGAAGATATAAGGCAGAATTGCAAAATCGGTAATAACATTGAAGCTCTAATTTTGGATAAAAAGAGACTTTTTGTTTCGTAAATTCCAACGAAAATAAGCAACGGTAATGTAGAAGTTTCAACGCTGTATTCTGGACTTATGGTTATCTTCTAATGAGTTGAGCAATCTCGTACAAATACCTTTTTCAATTAAAAATAAATAAGCAAAGGTTTAAAAACAATTGTTACTATAACTTTACAAAACATGATACGTTAGTTAACAAAAACAAACAAAAGAATTGTACTAATTGACAAACAACAAACTTATGGTATCAACGTAGCCCATATACCATAATGACTTTACCGTCCATTCAGCGGTCAAGTTGTTTCTAAAATATTGTCATTTATATTAAAAAATATTTTTCCAAAATTAAATTTTGAAGATCCCAGGAAATATATCTTACTTAACACCCAAATAAAATCCAATGGAACGTTTTCGTTTCAGTATTTGTATACTATATATTTAGTGTACGCCTCTGAAATTTTAGGTGATGAGCAGTAAGGACTGGCTCACTATAGATGATTGGCTGGAATGTAGCCTGCCGTTATGTTCCGTCCAAATCAGACACGATGGCAAATTGGAAAGGTCAGAGGCTGAAAACCTACATATCTGTTTCTCTAGTGCTAAACTAGGTGGAAATATTTTAGGGTCAGGATGTTCCCAGGTTTAAAACTATCCATCACCAAAACAAGTCAAGTAACCTAACAGTTTTTAGGAGTGCATCTGTTTCGCAACAATTCCTGAATTATTAATCACTCTTCTCAACGTGGAAGCTTTGGAGGATAACGAAGTTGTAACGATACAGGGAGTTAGACATATATGCCGAATAACGGATCCTAAACACAGGGCGACTTTGGAAAGACTGGAAGATATTAGAGAAGTAGCTAATGAAACACTGTGACCCCAATTCTGACTAAATGATAATTGTTTAGTTAACCGTGTGTTGCATGGACGCGGACGACTATACTAAGCTGCCCATTGGCCAATACGAGGAAGATAATATTCTCAGGGAATTAAACAAATGCCTTCTCGGATTTCAACAGAAACCGATATCGAAAAAACAAGAACTGCCGAATCCAGTGGTTACGTACAATCACAGACGAAGACGACTTTCACCGATTGGAGAGTCGTTCAATTCGATTCATTCAGATGTTGTAAAACCGGATATTCCACTAATAACACAGGATACATGGTGAGTTGTGACTCCGCTATAGATTGATTAGCTTTGAAAATAATTTTAAATGTGTGTAAGTGCGGAAATGATATCCAACTAAGAGAAATGGATTTTTTCGCAAAATTCGATGTTTTTTAACATAATTTATTTATTTTTAAGTTATGTTTATCGACAATTTTTTAAGATATATTTATAACTCAAAATAGTTGCGGATCAGGCATCAGGTCGTTGAAAATGAACTAAATCGTTTTGGTTAGTTATAGTAATCGAGTACAGTGGCGTTCCGGAAGCTATGTGTAGTTTATCTCTGAGTCACAAAAAATACAACTTTGTTGCTTTTTCGGAAACACAATACTGAATTTAGAGTATTTTTCTTAATCACCTGCGAATATTTAATGCGCGAAATATGGTACTACTTTGGTACATTTTTAAATAAATGAATAGGCAAAGAATACGTTTGTGACGATTTCAGTTCAACGAGAGCAAACTCAATGTTATCTTTGGACGAAGACGGTAGACATAACACACTGGGCGTCCAAAAAATAATTGAAAAAAGCACTCTAAGAAAGAATCAGTGCTGTGCTGACACTTTAGTGAACAACCGACGTGGAAGATTCATAGTGTTAGGATCTTCAGGAGAATGTCTTCCGGTTGTGAGGAACCCTTTAAGAACTCAAAAAAGTACTCAATCGGCTCTCGCTTCGTCCAGCGAAGAAGAATTTTACAGTGCCAAAAGTAGTTTGGACAATGGTACTTTTTTTTATTGGAGCAATTTGATATGTTTATAGTATGTACTTTTCCTAGATAGCGAAGAAGAAAATTACCACAAAAGATACAGCATAGATTTAGAAACTTTGGAGAGTAGACAAACTTTTGCTCAACGATTAAGGGAGGCCATGAAAGATAAACCACCATATCAAAGTGAGAGTTCCAGCGATGAATCTGACTATGCCATCGGCATTTCTTTGGCAGGATCTGAAGTTGCCGATTATGATATAAAGTTAGATCGGTAAACATTTTCAAAGTTTCCATACTCAACTGCAGTTTATAGGATAAGAAGGCAAAATTCAACCGGATTCGCACTGGGCGAAGATGACGATGAAATGATCCATCTATCGGGCAAGGAGAAACAATTGGTTGACAAGTTTGATAATAATCAGTCTTCATTATCCAGAAAATCATCCGAGTGTAGTTTCACTACGGAATATAGGTTAGTTTCATTCGTATACTCTGTCTATTTTGGTAGTGACTGAAGGGTATGTCCGTTGTTAGTGAATATAAAGCCTTGCGTTTTCGATGATGTTAACAAAATTTCCATGACTTGTTTCGATTTTAAAATACAGGGTGATTTTTTGGAAATTTGAACTTTTGGGACACTCCTCGTATCTCGGGTATCGTAAGAAATGTCGGAAAAGTGAAAAGCGGATCCGATATAGATTTTGACGTAGAATTCAGTAGCGTAGTTAGTTTTTTTTCTAAATGGTTTGGTCTTTAAAAAAAAATAAACTTTGGTTTTTTTGAATGGAACACCCCAAAAATGTATAACAGAATGCGATTGTATAAATGATCTCACAAAAATGATTTTTTAAATTTTCATGAAGGTATTTGTGGTAAACCTTGGAAATACGATTTATTAAATATTTATTCCTGCTAATATTTAATAACTTTTATAGTTTGCATGAAACCAGTTTAACATTAACAGAAAAATGTATAACAGTATTGGGTTATTCGTGTAAATTAAATTAATTAATTAATTAATTAAACATTTTTTAACCCATTTTCTCTAACACCACTACGCGCACCGACCTTATCATTTTAAATAATTAGTTTCACATCTAGGTTCTCGTTTTGGTTTATATTTTTTAATAATATATAGATCATATGTGATCATGTTAATGTTACAAATAAACTGTTAATGTTAAATGCTAACTATAAAAGTTAGGACCTATTTGGAACACTCTGTATAAGCTGAGGCAAATCTGTCAAACTGATTGAGTACTGTATCATCTCCTTAGTCTGTGGTTAAATTTTCGTTGCAATACCTGTATCAGTAGCGTCACCTCAGAATTTTATATGGGGCAATCAAAATATGAGAAAAAACACATAACCTCAATTTCTGCATAAACTATGCAAAATTCGAGTACGAATTTCTTCCGAAAGTGACGTTCATTTTAACCAATGATTCCCAAAATGTCGAAATATACAGGGTATTCCATTTAAAATAACAAAGTTGATGTCGGGGGGACACTTTTAGGACACCCTGTATCAATAAAATTATAATATTTTAAATCTTCAGGATAGTCCAAGAAAATTTTGTGCGAAACTTTTTTTCATGTCTCCTATGGGTTTCCAGATCGTTTTATTTGGCACACGGTGTACATACCATATTTATGTAAAATTTTTTCATTAATAATGTTTCAGTTCAGAACTCGAGGAAGTATACGAACAGTTTACACATTGGCTGGAAAATCCGATTTTACAAATAGAAACGGGAACAAAGAAGCAATTGGACGCAAGAGAATTGGCGGTCGTCAGGTTCGCAGGATCTCTATTAAAACGGACACTCAGTGAATCATTTGCCGGTTAGAAAGTTTAATGGTGTGATATTATTAAAAATCATATAGATATATTTTGTCTACATTTTTGGGAAGAAAAACGTACCGCGTTTGGGATATTTGCTTTACTTACTCTTTAATATGCTCTGTTAGAAGAGAGAAATAAGTTATTGATTTGCAAAAAATCATAGTGCTGTTTATTAAACTGATATTGAGGAAGTTACGTAGGAACTACTGAGATTTATGATTTAATACACAATTAAAAAATATACTAGGTGATTTACATTTTTCTATTGAACGTTCGGGAGTAAAAATTCAGGAGGAATTTTTCCAAATGTAGTATACGGGGATAATTGGCGATAGGCAAAAATGTTGTTCGTGGGTCTGGAGCAGGCTATTGGGAACAAGGATGTATAAAAAAAAGTCTTGTTTTGCTGTATAGTTGTGCTTGACCCGACCTCTCACACTCATTAACTTTAGTAACAACTTTTATTGTAAGAAATTATCAAATTTTTCTAATTAATTAAACTTTTTAAATTGAACTGTAAATATTGGTAGAAGTCTTGTATCCTAAACAACGGTTAATTAAACCTTCTGTCTACATTAGTTGTAACAAGTAAGAGTCACATGGAAAGAGGTATTTTTAACAAATATTATAATGCTGTTGGTAATAATAAGGATTATAAAAATAATGAGTCCGCGTATTTAATCAGTCGGTTTTATTATAAAAACTGAAATAATTTTGAGAAACCAAATCAAGAAGCGAAAACGAGAAGTAATAAATTTTCAAATCAGAATTACAAGGACCAATATTTTTGGAAAAAATATAAACTGGAACAGCAGTTTTTCGGAAGGGCAGTCTTGACAAATGTGTGTCAAATTTTAGTTTTATTGACCTATTCACAAAATATTAATAACAGTTAATAATCTTTAACACAAATAATTTCAGGGGTACCTGTTCCTATGGCTGAAACATGCGATTTATTCTCCCGAAAAATAACAAACTCTGCTCCAGGAAAATCAAAACTAGTGTTGAGTGCTAAATCGCTGAGCTTAGAACTAGCTCGACAAAAGCACAGACTGGCCTCTCAGTTGGTAAGTTTTGGTTCTGTATTGATATTGTCAAAATGTTTTGGGTTTACTTTATTATTATTATTTGAATTTGATATTTGTGCTGTTGTAACAAATAGTAATTCTTTTATTTAATAGAATTTGCAAGAAGTTTCCCCGATAAAGAACCCAAATAATCGGAAATGCAATGCTTTAAACATGAGTGGGCTAAATAAATGTAATAAAGCTTGGTTTATAACATGCATGCAAAATGATATAGTTCAAACGTTAGAAGATGTTATAGTGCCTCTCGTGATAGAAAAAAAGGTAATGGCATAGTTTTAACTTACCTAAATCACTAACATACTTCTGGACTGCTGGATATTCGAAAAGAAGCAAAAACAATTTGTGCACTGTCGCCAAAGTTGCACACATTATTTTATTATATATGATGGTAACCATAATCAGGTTTTAATAAGAAAAAACAAAACCTTTCGAATTTTTTGACCATAAACCTGAGTATCATTGTGTCATTTGAAAAATTGTATTTTAATCTCATTAGTAAAATTTGAGTATTTATACTTAATTAGTATTGAAATATTATAATTTTTGAATTAATTTATGGCCATTGTAACCAGTAAGACCATATTCACATGTTTACGAACAAATAAAAAAAATGCGTGATATGGTTGAAATTTTAAATAAAATGCAGCGTCTACTTTAACACATCTATAATAAAAATTATTGAATTTAAAATAATTTTCAGCAAATATAGCTTATAAAATGATCGAGCCTTCACATACACCAAAATCTTCCGAAAACATTCCACATTCCAGTTGTGTCGTTTCGAGTATCTAGTATTTTTCAATCACTAAAAAGACTTATGTATTGTAATCGACAAAACTATTTAAAAATCAATCAACCTTTAATGTGATAAACATCGCAGACAATACCGGTGGGAATTCATACATTTGTTTTCTTCCTAAATTATTGTTACCAACGTTGTTCAATCATGTTTATAGCATAAGTTATTTTTTGAGATAGTAACGAGTGCATACAGGGTATCATGACAACATAATTATACACAAAAATACCCGTTATTTCAGTTGCTGCCTGATAGTCCGGGAAAATTGCTCCAAAAATTACGTATAAAATTTTTGTCGTGTCACCGGATCTTTCAACGGGATAAAATAATAACAGCGACAAACTAGGTCGGCTAGCCAAATCCTGCAACCCCGCATTTAATAAGATAAAATATGAAAAAAAAAAATGTTTTAGCGGACGATTAATTTTTAACGCGAACGTGTTAATCTCATAAATTGAGACCCCAAAAAACAGTCACATGCCACATATTACGCAGCAAATTCAAACACCATTAGTTTAATCAACCCAAATTTAAAAGAAAGTTTTTGCTTTTAACAAAACCACTAACCACTCGAGAATTCGCTATTTTCAAAAAATGATACTTTATATTATTTAATAAATCGAATAACCTCTTCTTCTCCTTGTGTTATAGAATAGAGTTTAATGTTTGATTCTGATTTTCTTTTGAATTCGCCCGTTAGAACGTAGGTGGTGTAAAAAGTTATCACTCCGAAAAATAACACAATTACACTGTAATTCACTTCACTTCACTTACTTAATGGTAGTTTTAATCTTAATTAAGAGTATTACTGCTCTCCTAATATGAACATAAATTTAATTAAATTGTATATTCTTAAATACGTAACCAAAGATCATTTAATTTTATTAGCTATACCTATTTAAACAATCCAAAAGTAACTGTTTCGAGAGCTATCTAATTAAATCAAGTGTAGTTAGCGTTTCCAAAAGTGTATTCTATTTGTTTATCGGGTACACCCTATTGTTGTAATTTAGTTAGTAAGTTAGTAATTTGTTAGAGTTTTTATGGTGCAATATTTTATACGCGTAGAATGAGAAATTACGGACTTTAACGATATTTGCAATGGATACACTACAGAAATAACATCAGGTCAGTTGCAAAATGTCCTGGTATGGAATGAACATGTCTTGCTTATTTTCTAATCTATTAGCCATCTAAGATTTTTGCTTCTAGTTGCTAATTGACTGAAATCGACGCAGTTTGTAAACATACACATAAAGTTAGTAGTAATAGTAGTTAGTTTTGTAGGATAACCATGGACCATGAACTAGATCAATAGCCTAAATACCATTCTGTAATCCAAATTAACATAAAATATTTGTGGCAAACATGTTCCGATTATTTGGCAACGCTTCGCGATTCTCATTCTGACAGTGAGATGCCCGGTTGCGGTCATAGATTGTCCTATTAGGTCGGATAAGCTTACGAAAAAATAGTTTCTTTTTATTCGATTTGGATCAAACAAAATATCGATTCGGCATCAGGGTAGGGTTCAAATTTACATATTAGATTATAGGATGTCACTAAAATAACTCCCTGTATAAAATCATAAACAGGAATGCTGATGCTAAGTGCCACATTCAAAAAAACTAATCAAAACGTCAAAATTGGGAAATATAAAAATGACAAATATCAGCTGGCATCTCACTAACTAATCTCCATCACTCAAGGTGTTTACCTGTCATAGAGCTATTAGTTAATATAGTGGCCTAACCTGCACTTTGCGACATATTTTTTTTAAACACGAGATCTGGGCAAATGTATTGACGATTTGGCAGCAGCCATGTTGGTTGCTGAAGTCCCTAAAGTTGGAATTATAGCCATTTGTAATGACGCCATCTTAATATATTCCAAACAGCGGTGTCAACAAAAGTTTTAAAAAATTGATGTCAGATGGTTATTCATTTTTATATACCTATATTTAAAGTTATGTGAAATATCATTGTCATTATATCATTATAAAATTTTTTAATATTTAATAATATTTTTTTTAACAAACTGATACCCTTGAAACTTAAATTAAAACTCTAGGCACCACCGAACGTAAACTTAATATTCTCAAGATAACATATTTCTGCCCAACACCGTATAGTAAAAACGTCACTTATAATTATCAAATCAGCGAACACCTGGTTTTGACAACCAGCATGACGTCATTACAAATGGGTATAACTTATTGGTTGAAAACGAGATTTCCAATGACCGCGCAACGACTCTATTTCTCTAGTAGCTATATAGGACATATTAATTCATTGTTACCCAAAATTAAACTGTAATTACTGTCTTCGTTAATTTTATTTTTTTATTTTTTCAAATAGAGCGCGTATTTACTTTTAGCTTTTCGGTGGGCCAGACGACCCTGTCAAAATTATTTCCCCCCGTTTTCTTATTGCTCAAATTCAGAAATGCATACGTCAAAGTGTTTAATCGAGTTTTTTTTCATATTATTCAAATTGATGCATGTGTACAATGTCACAACCAAAATTTTTGCCTAGTACTAGCCGGCTGTTACTTTCATAGTACCTTGTGCAAGTTTTCAGCACAGGCAGCGTGTGAGCAGTTATAAAAACTATTTTGACTGAAATTTAAAATATTTCCTCATCATATTTATATCAAATATGTTTTTAAAAATAAGCATATATATATATAGTTACTACTAGTTACGCTGTGGTATAGTTTGTCAATATTAGGTAGCTACTAGAAAGGAACTTATCTGCTTTAATTTAAATTTGTAATAATTTTTTGATTATGCTAGGTGCTTCCAAGAGACTGGGAATGATTTGACTTCAGCTACTTGACTTTTACACCCCGCAACAAAACACGTTCTATCTGACAACACTTTTATCACTCATTCTACTTTATTCATTATCTTTAGTGTTAGGTTTAGGTTTTTTCTAAAAATTTACAATTAATATTATTAATAATTATCTAAAAACATAACATAATCTCTTTAAAACTATTAGTACAGTACAAAATTTTCAAATGGAAGCCACATATAATTGAGAAGACATTTGTTGCACACCATATATATTTCTATTTTGTTAAGGTTCAAACCGTCTTTTATTTTTTGACACAATATTTACCAGATAATATGCACCCATAATTATGCATCAGGCCTTAGACCCAGGTTTGTTCGCACAGCCAGTTCACTAATATTTTACAAGCTACAGTTCTAGTCTTTAAATATTCACTTTTAAAATTCCGTTTGGTTTTGGTATGTACTAGACATATATTATTTGTCTATGCGATAATACAGGCACTTTTGAAGTAAACATTAAAAACGTTGACAACATTCAAACCAGCGGGCACTAGACAACCAGACCTTGCGCACTTCAACAACCAGCATGGCTGCTGAAAGATTTCAATTGGATAGTTTTCAGTTTGAGTGTGGTAATTTTTAGGCAGTAACATGTGCTAAATATTTAGGGAAAAGGAAGTAACTAAGTGTAGATCTGCTGCTTTCCAAGAAAATGGCGCAAAGTGTAATAGTTGTAAATTTAGAAACTTGAGATCCATTTTGTAAGAAAATATGATAGCTGGTTGATGTGCATCAATTTTATGGTATTAATGGTCCTATAATCTAAACTAAAAAATGAGTTTTTATTGAACTCCTGTGGTATTACAATTAAAGTAATGTATCTTAAATATTTTCTTAATACAAATATTTCTGAGCTACATATAAAAACTTTTAGAAGTGCAGTGTTAAAAAGGGTTATATCCAGAAGTTAATATTTTAGGTGTCTCAAATATCCCAGAAGTCAACTAACGGATTAAGACCAGTTAGTTCAGGTAACTGGGGTTGTGGTTCATCAAGAAAAGGGGATGTGCAACTTAAGGTTGTTATACAGTGGATGGCTGCAAGTGTTGCTGGAGCTCCATCCTTAATTTACTACACCTATAAACATCCACAACTAGCGAAATTGGATACTGTGTGCCGAATACTCATAGACAGAAAATGGACAGTAAAAGAATTAGCAGAAGTGACTTTGAAATACTCAAATCATGTGCTTAGAGGAAAGCAACTGAGTGGAACCCTATTTGAAGATTTGATTGGAATAGACAAAACTGATATATGACACCTAGTTTTCAATTTTTGATGAAAAATGGAATCCAAAAAAATATAACAGAAACAAAACATGAAGATGACAATATACTTTATTTTTGCATATTTTGTTTTATATCTTCCTTCCTTTGCAAGCAAGACTTCTCTTGAAAAAAAACTTTTTAAGCACAAAAGAATTGTTCTGATAATTAAAATTTGCAGCTTTGGTTTAAGTTTATTTTAAAGGGCTAAAAAATTAGACAATGGCTATAACAGTCATTAATTACAAAATTAGAGTGAATTTATTTGATTTATTTGAAAACAATATGGTAAATCAAAATTCCAAACTAGATTTAACCCAACTTTTTAAAAGAATATACCTCGCATTCGCCTTCCCAATCCTTGCCTGTCATAAAGGATATTGAATTTATTAACAAACTGATTAAGATCATTACATCCTTTTGTCAGAGCTCCAAGATAGGTCATAAGTCCTACATCGTTACATTGCTGGAAAAAAAGGGGCAGTTGACGGGGTTTGCCAAGATCTATGTTTTCAAATTAATGAGACACTTACATTATAAAAGTCTTGTCTGAATCTATTGCTTTGTACCACAGGCAATCTATGGCATAGGGAATATGCTTCTCTTAATATTTCATGGTTACGAGGCAGTTGACCACTTTGAACTGCCTTCATGTATTCTAATACTAATTTAACTCTTGAGTGTAACATTTTTATTGCACTATGTTGGGCGGTAAGGTGTTCAGCAACCAATGAACTTTCACCAGAATCATTAGATGACATCCTAGCAACATGGTCAACTCCAATTCGTTCTGCTTCTTCAGTTGCTAAAGTGTATGTTAGAGGTACAAAAAGCATAGTAGCTTCCCCACTGATTAAGTCTATGACTGATTCATATAAGGAAACTGGGAGATGCTAAAAATAGCAATTCACACTTGGATCTGATAATCACACAAAACTTCATCCATTACTTACATCTATATTCTTGTCATATGGGTTTAGTTTCAAAAGAATTGGGGAATCATTAATTTCACATATTTGCTTGTGCACTTTTATGTCTGAACTATTTGGGACATCACCTGTTGTATACCATCCAATAAAATCCATATCACTGAATACTTGCTTGACTGAAGCACAACAAATAAATAAATCCAATTAAATACAATTCTTAGACCACTCACATTGCTCTTCCTTCATGTTATAATAATCTCTATCCACAACAATGTCTTCACCTATATAACCAAAGACTAATTCAAATGAATTCATAATTTCTATGTTTCTTCCTTTCTGTTTCCCAATTAATGCTCCAACCACTGCAATTTTTGGGGCTCTAATAACAACAGAAACGCCGTTCTCAAGAATGTTACCTTGTTGAACTAAACCTTCTTGGGCTCGTGTTCTCGTCCAGTGTTCTGAGACATTCATTATAACTAAAGGATGCAAAGAACACATAACAGATCCAGTGGCACCAGCTGCCATAACATTTTTATTAATTTCGGACGTGTCCATGGACTGTTTGCTATTGGTATTTCCATCTGTCCCTTCGATTTCCATTGCCTCGCTCGGTTCATTCATTGTTGTACTTTTTAACTTTACAGATTTTCAATAAATTCTTAATCAACTACTAACCAGGTCAATGTATTAATAAAAATATCAACAAAACCTGATAGAAAAGTAATAAACAATAACGTTTTCATATGCCAGTCCAAAACACCTCCAACGACTTTCTGTCAACCAGCCAAAACTACTTTAGAATAACTATGGTTAATAATCATTGTTATTTTGGAAGACCTTCAAGGAAATTTCTTCTTCTTCTTTACATTTACAAAACATAAAGCAAATTTTATTCGCCCTAGAAACCATTTTTGAGATAAAATCATTAAAAAAAGCATAATAAATTGTAGCAGATGAGAAACTTTCCTCTTAAAAGATTGATATCGCATTACCGGCATCATCTAAATTTTTGGGTACACCTGCCCACTTAAAGCAGAAAGAAGGTGATGATGATCATCAATGATCAATTTGACATTTAAATTCTGGCGCGATTATAAATGGTATTTTTGCAGGAGATATAAATACAAGAATGTCAATGATGACAATATATTTTGCTATACAGTTTTACTAAATAGTATATTATGCAAAAAAGTTAAAAAAAAATTAAAATATTATGTGCAGTTTAGTTTTAATACTCAATAGTATATATAATACAATTATTAATATTGATAAATTAGTATACTGTGCAACGCTCTGATTAACTTACTGCATAACATACTATTTGGAGACTGATGTTACAACAAAGCCAACTCTATAATATGATTATAGATAGTCTTACAATCGGTAGAGGGGGGTGGGGGAATTAATATCTACACTAAGTGGATAATGGAGATATTTCCTTTATATGGGAATATTTGCTATTCATATGAAACAATATGAGGTTATCTACCAGTATCATTAATCGTTTTCAAAACAAAACAATAGTTGAAACATAACACATTTTATTGTAAACATGTTTAAAGATCTAATTACATTTTGTAAAATTAAAGAAGCGATTAGAAGAAAGGTCATAGGGCTTGGGCGCATATTGGGTCTAAGAACTAAAAAGTTATTTTGATTTTGATTTTAGAAATTTATTAATATTTTACAAATACTTCTATAACCATTAAATTAACCATTTTCCCCTGAATCTTCATCAGAATTTGAAAAATCATCCCCATCACTGATTTTGAGAGAATTTAATTTCTCAAGCAGATTTTCCTTTATTTTACCATCATTGGATATAAGAGTTTTATTCATAAACCTGACAAAAGTCCTCTTTTTACGTTCAGGCAACATCTTAAGGAGTTCCTTCATTTCATTATCAAGTTCAAATTGTTCTTTGCTTAAAGGAGCCTGAACTACATTTTTTGACTTTCCACACTTAGAACAAAGACCTAAATTTTTTCCACACTCTGAACACATGATGTGGTAGGCGTGCTTAACATTTTTGTTGCCACATTTAACACATTTCTTGGGTTGTGTTAATGCCTTATATTTTTTAAATTTAATTTTCCATTCAATGACTTCTTTGCAATGAATACAAACTTCATTGATTGGAAGGCTATTTAATAGTTTTGTTTTATGACTTGTGTCGTGAAGGGTGTTCTTAAAGCTGGTCCTGTTTTGATATTTTTGTGGTCTAGTTCTTGAATGATTTCCTTTCTCAGTACTCATATTTAAATGTAAAAAATAGTTTTAATGTATATTAATAACTTCTAATTTGGTTTGGAAAAGCTCCAATTCTTTGCGTTTATTTTCTCCAAACTCTCTCAAGATAACAATTTCCAATTCTTTATATGCGATACACAGACGTTCAAAATCCACTTCATTTAATAGAAGACTTAATAAAGATTGATTGTATGCTATTTCTCCAATTGTTTTAAATATAATTAAATATTCATTTAATTCATGACTTAAAGTCTCACCCAGTGTTCGATGCTTTGGAAGATCGTCATATACTTGTGGCCCAATAATCTTTGCTTTTTGAGTTATTTCGATTTGTTTTGCCAAGCACTGACGATATTCAATAGATGTTTCTACTACCAACTTTTTTACTCGGTTCATTAAGTTAATTAAAGCTGCTTCACCTTCATCGCATGCTTTTCGCACGTCATCTTCCACGTTAATCTTTGGTTCACAAAGGACGTTACTCCAAATGGTCCATATGATTGTGCTAACTAATGGTATAGGTTTAAAAAATATAATAGGTCTCTGTCTAAGAACAGTCCGATATTTTCGAAAAAAACTTCGTCCCAGGAGCTTAATTAAACGATTCATTCACTGAACAAAACAATTTTTCAAATTTGATACTAAATCTCGCCTAAACTACAAGTTCATATTTTAGGTTCTCTTTTTCCCATCCTACATTTAAGTTAATTACACGATTTACAAACACTGTTGGGCGCAACTGCTAGAATCATTTGCCCATTGCCGACTTCCGTCGAGGATTTTCGCTTTTGGTCAATGACCAACACGTACGAAGAAGAAATATAACCAAAATTTGCTCAACTAGCAAAAAACGATTCTGACCGATACCAAAAAAATCGGCCTCCCCCCGCTTCCACCAGTGACAATCCAGGCCTATCCGGTCTCCATACCGGCGTGAACAGGGAAAAACGACGGGGCCGAGGACGATTATCACTTTAAAACAATCACTAAACACTAAAAACACCAAATCCACCAAGTGGAAACCGATTTCAAAAATTTTTGGACGATTACAAGGGATTCTATCGGGAGCGAACGGAGGTTAAACCGCCGCGTGCAATGCTCCACCACAGAGCCCATCCTACATTTTCAATTGTTTCTTGCATTCGCTATGTATAGCCACACCGCCAAGATCAATTGGTCAAAATATTCAAGAATAGTTTTACAGAGAAATACTTCTCTCCATGGCAGTTTAATTTTATTTCAACAAGGACCGATTTAAAAACGATTCTTTCCCGTCATGTAACGGTTTATTTACCAATTGTGAAAACAAACGGCGCTGCAACAAATTCCACTCTCTAGCAAGTTTCAGTTAAGTAGCACATGGGAAGAAATAGATTTTTTAATGCAGTTATTAACAGAAATAAATTCTAGTTTCAGCACAACTCTGCCCGGCAGCAAAAATTAGTTAATTGACTAATTCATTGATTAATTTTTTCAATACGTTTTTGCTTTGACACTTAGTATCAATCCTAACATACCTTTATGCTCTCCCACTTAAAGATCATTTCATACCAAAAATAAACTTTATTGTCTATGGAGTTAACCTAAGTGTTGCGGCAGGTACTGGGGAATTTTAACATTTTTGTTTTACCATTTTAAACTGATTTTTTAATAACATAGTAACTTAGTTGCTCTGATTTATATGTAAAAAAGACATACTTTCGTTTGTAACTATGCGGATGACTTTAACATTAAAACATTAATTCAATTATTAATTTTAAATATTAAGGGTATAACAAAAGTCCCATAATGGTTTTCAAGGCCTATCAGAGGCTCTTGAAGGACAGATTTGTATTAGTTCAAGCATTACAAACGGGTATTTTAATGGGTACGAGTGATGTTATAGCACAATTTGTGATCGAAAAGAAAAAATTAAAAGAATATCAGTTTAAAAGAACAGGACAGTTTGCTATTTTTGGTATGACGTTTGTGGTAAGTGCCTGCAAGTTATTAAACTCAAATCTAGGTAGTTATAGGGTTTGTGAAGTTGCATTATACTTTGTTACAGGGGGAGTTCATTTCATAATTTAAATAACTGCTTTAGACTTTTGTTGTGGTTTAAATTTTGTAAACATTCACGACAATAAAGAGAAAATATTGTTGATAGTTTTGAATTTCTATCTGTATCCTACTTCAAAGAAAATTTGATCCACGTCGTTTGTTCATTTTCTTTTTTTGCTTCTTGCTGCAAATTTTACTTGAGTTGGAGTGACTTCACTGACCCCGCATATTGGGATGGATGTTTCTTAGTAAATAAAACATTTTGTAGGGACCTACTCTTGCCATATGGTACAGATTACTTGCAAGATACATCGGGCAAGCCAAGTCTAGCAAAGTTACTCTCCAAAAGGTTGCCTGTGATCAGTGTATATTTGCGCCAACATTTTTGGTATTTTTTATTTCGGGTATAAATTTTATTCAAGGCAAAGATGCCACTCATATTAAAAATGAACTCGCTTTGAAGTACAAAGACATTCTACTCACAAATTACCAAATATGGCCGGCAGTTCAGTTGATTAATTTTTATCTTGTTCCGTTAAATTATCAAGTTTTGCTTGTGCAATCTGTAGCCATTTTTTGGAATACATATTTGTCCTGGAAAACGCAGAATGTAATGAAAACACATGAGGATTAATGTAGTAATTTTCAAGAAATAAAGCGAAAATGAAACCAAAACTTTTGTTTTATTTATCTAATTTGTCAAAAGGTTCCCGCAAACGAATGCAATCGCTAACAATTTAAAAGAAAACTGTTCTGAAGTTTTGTTGTATCTTTGGTATATACCAAGTCCGTGCTGCATTGAGAGTTACAATGTCGCATTTTTTTTTAAATAAATATTTTTGGACATTTGTAACAAACCAAAAATTTGCAAGGTTTAATTTTATCAAGTATTAATTTGAAGACACTGTGTTCAAAATAAATATCACTTGCGTTTTGTTTGTAATGTGACTTGTTTTTTTTTGTTGTTACTATTTTTATTATAAGAATTTCTGCTTTTGCTCGGAAAGTTATTTTATTGATTACAGAATCTGAATCTGAAACAAATTTCAAAATGTTATACCAGGTATACAGGGTGTTCTGTAATTCCCATCATTTAAATTTAAGAAGTAAATTTAAAGGTATGACTATCACGTCAGATTACGCGATTAGTAACGTTGGACTACTGCTTGCACGATAACTATTTGTACATTCCAAATAGCACTTGCTTTATAAAGAATGTTACAAATACCCAATGATAGTATTTCCAATAACCACAAAACAATAAAAAGTTATAAACTATTTATTAACAATCTTTTGTTAGTTTTGTTAGCTAATTTTTTGTTCTTGCAAGACCAAAACGCATTCTTTTTGAATTTTACATAGTTACACAGAGCACAGACTTCTGGTTAGTTTGGTTTAGAATTAGTCATTTAATCAACAGCAAAAGCATTTTTTAGTATTGAGGAAAAGGTAGTAAGTTTAATTTTGAACCATCAGTGTCTAAATTTAGCTGGTACCTAATAATGAAATAGACAATTTTTTGGGGTTCGGAAACGAGGTTATTTTTTGCATATTTGAACTTTAGACATATAAATAAATAAATTGTTGCAATTTGTCCGTATGTACTATATACTCTACGTCCACCCACATTTTTCATATCAATTTTTTAAAACAAAATAGCAGTGTTCTAAAATTTTCCACGATGATGGAATAAAAAAATTATAATTACAGTAATAAAAGAAAACAGCTAAATCAAAGAAAAATTGCAAATATTGCAAATATTAAAAAAAAAATATTGTATTATATTATAATTCTTTTTTTTTTCTTTGAAATAGAGTTTTCCTCTTGATTTTTTTTTCACTTGGTTGCGTCCATAGTCCTGGTGTTTTAAAATCCGAGTTCCAGCCAAACTCTGTTGATAATAACATATTTTGCAAATACATTTTCCTTGGGTTCGTCTCTTAAAAATACATCCCGATCAGTGGTTTAAAAAAGTCTTGTTCTCAAATCCTTTTTGTTAACTTTTCCCATGGCATTTTTTGGAATCTCTTGTACAACCTTTAAAACGCTAGGTAGACTGTACCTCGGTATACTCTGCAGTGCCCAGTTTCGCAACTCGTCGACGTTTAAATCCTCACCGTCCGCTAAAACAACCACAGCGGCAACTTTTTCCCCGTAGACATCATCGGGGACTCCAATCACTGCACATTCCTTCAGCTTTGGATGAGCCAAAAGTTTGGTTTCGATCTGAAGAGCGCTCAGTTTGTATCCTCCTGATTTAATTATATCGATACTCATTCTTCCCAACATTCTAAATTTGTTTTTGTCTTTCACGTACTCGCTCAAATCTCCAGTTTTAAACCAACCATCTTTGGTAAACTCCTTTTTGGTTGCTTCGGGTTTGTTGTAATAGGTCCGGAAAACGCTGTTGCCTTTCACCAACAGCTGTCCGGTTACGTCATTCCGGGTAACCTCTGGTGAAAATTTTACATTGCCATTTTCGTTGTAACATTGGAGTAAAACCTTCTCGGTGTCAGGATCCGCTATCGCAACCGAAACCGACGGTAGAGGCAGCCCGACGTATCCTGGTTCTCTATCGGAATCGTACAAATTGGATAAGCACATTCCTATCTCCGTCATACCGTATCTTTCCAGAAGTCTATGACCGGATATGTCCAACCATTTTTGATACAACGGATTTGGTAGAGGGGCGGAACCGCTCACCATGAGCCTCACGTTGTTCTCCAACATGCGCTTGACCTTGTCTTTTTCCTGTTGTGTAAACTTGTCGTGTTCTTCTATCAGTTTGGCGTACACAGTCGGCACTGCCATGAAAACAGTGACCTTTTTTTTGTTTAAGTCGCCTGTTTCGTTTAACAAATACGACCACACTTTTTTGGCGTCGAACTTTGGCAGCATTACGGTTGTGGCTCCGACAGACAGCGGGCAAAACAGACAATTTATTGTACCGTGGATATGATGAAGCGGTAGCGTGTGTAAAATTACGTCATTTGAATGCCATTTCCAAGCGTTCACGAGTGAACGTATTTGCACCGACAGATTTTTATGGGTAAGGACAACGCCTGCAACAGAAAATAATATTATAAGTCTTAGCATTAAGGAGCAGCCATCAGATATGATGACTACTGCTTCTACGTCAAACCTTCCTCTACTAAGTAAGTCAGAAAAAGATTGACTTACTGGCGAAGGAGGCGGTTCCAAAACGTATGAAGGTATTGGAGGTTTGAATGGGCATGTCAGAAGTCGACCCCATTATATTCCAAGCACGTCATATATAGCACTGAATGCGTTAAAATCACTCCAATGCTCCTCCAAAATCGTAAAGAAGCTACCAGGAGGTGTTGTCCATATTAGGGACCCTAAATCCTGACATGGACAGTGTCTCCTGGAGGATGAAGAAAGGATAAACCCGGAGGTAACCAGTTGAAAGACACGACAAACACATTACAAATATTTTATTTGTCCAGTTATGGGAAAGACCATATACTAAAATTTATTTAGCGTATGACTTACATGGATTTGGTTCTAAATTAAGTGCATAAAGACAACAAAAATAACAGAAACAGAGGACAAAAACCAACAGGTTTCTAGATATGAAGAATTAATTAAAATTAGATTTTAAAATATAGCAGCAGAGAGACAGTGACCTCGTAGAAGTCTCTTAATTCTCCACTGTATGATGTCAGGGCGCATTCGTCTCTTGGCAGTCGCAAAACGGCGTCTCAACTGATCTCCACCTATGTGGATATGGCAAATGCCGTTCTAATCCTGTTTAACGTGTTCCACTCGTCGTATGGCAAGTCCATTCCTGAGAGAGACACTGTACACATTTTTTTATATTCCCTAGCTAGGCTCCCCCGCCTACGGATGATAGGAAGTGCAACATGTCTTAAAACGAGTAGCTAGGGTGGACGTGTACTTTTCATACAACCGCAAATTAATCTCATTGTTTGATTATGTTTAACCAGATGGGGCACAGTATTTAGCAACCGTGTACCCAAGGCTGTGAGACAAAATCCTGAGATTGGCCGCACTAGCTCCCCAGGTGGTTCCGCAGAGTTTATGGATTAGAGTATTCCTGGTGTTTATTTTAGCCGCTGCATTCTCTAAGTGTTTTTTGAATGAGTCTTCGATTCATTGTAATCCCTAAATATTTACCAGCTTCTAATATGATTTTACTTTGGGTTACAAGGGTCAAGTCGTCGGCATACATGAACTTTGTTGATGCTGTATGTGGGATCACTTTGGGGAATTTTTAGAGATCGTGAGAGCCTTAGAGAGCTTTATTCTTCATGGGACTAGAGGCATTTCGGCTAGATCTCTTGAAGTTTGTGCACCCTATTGTTTTTTTTCTTTTTTTACCGTTCAGTGTCCAGGCTGTTGATGAGCTCATCAGCTATTTCAGGTTCTCCGGTTTTCTGGAATTCCTGATATAGTCGCCCGTCAAAGCATTCAATCCCTGTACATACTCTCTGCGGAAGCCTCTGGGTATGTGTTTTTTCGGTGTTGTCATTACGGTTTTACGAATCTGGAGTAGCTGGCACTGACTGACCTAGAGTCTTTCCGAGATTCCACTTTGGTCTGGGTGTGGAGCGAATTATCGGGATTTTTATTTCGATTTCGAGAATTATGGTGCGGTGCTGATTATGTGGGAAGTCGTCTAGGACCTTTGTAGAGGTAGGTATCGGTTGCTTTAGAGCATTCTCGGAAGCAGAAAAAATGTCTGAGTTGCTTTCGATCTTCCAGGTAGCGGATCTGAAGGTGTTTCGTTCCTTGGCATCGAAAATTATGTGAAGGGCGTGCGAGTCTGTCCACTGCATAAGGCGTTCCCCGTACTCATCAGTGGAACTTTATTTACAGTAGATGTGGTGACTGTTAAAGCCGCCGGCGTATATTGCTGACATCTAGTGCTTGAAAACCTGCTGGACACATCTCTTCGGAAAATAGCGGGCTTAATGCGAGGGATGAACTTGATGGGTTATGAATAAAAATTTAAGGGTGGGCAACAATGACTCAACTAATACCAGCTGTAGACAATAACCAAAACCTAATGTACTGTAACAAGCTAAAATACTTAGAAATATATTAGAGGATTATTGTCTTTGTTAATTGAAATACACAATGTTCTGGAACAGGCAGAAGTCGTCATGGATACTTACGTCTTTTTTCTTTTTCAAATATTTCTTTAAAAGCAATATAATCTGCTTCTGTTGGAGATAATGTTTCTGAGATTGCCTTTGGTTTCAGCAATTTTAAATAGTTTTAATAGCAATTTTAAATAGTTCTAAGTATACTAATTTGTAGAAAAAAACTCGAATTATTATTTTAATAAAGACGCCTGCAAAGTGTTAGATCCATATAACTAAAAGATATATGGACGGTTTGTCTATGCGGATAATACAGCGAACTTCAATATACGCATGCGCAGTTATTTGGAAAAAAAATGTTCCAAAGTGCAGGTTAGTGTGTGAAATTTAGAGGCATGCGTGGAAAAATAATTCCCGTCTCTATGAAAATATCATTGCCGCTTGAGGAGAATCAATTTTTATCATCTTTACATTAGGCCACTATATATGGTTTCATCATATCAAAACGACGAGGGAGGGTCTCTCTTGTTCTATTTAATTCGCTGACATACTGGTATTTGTTACGTAGAGGGTACGAGAACCATTCGATACATTTATTTTTTGTGTCTAAATTACTGAGATTGGAGTGATCTCCTAAATGCGGATGCAGAACGTTTTTGTTTTGTTGTTTATTAAGAGTATCAAGTCGAAACAAAATATTCCTCGTTCCTGTTTTGAATGTGTTTTGCTTTAGTTATTATAAGCATTTTACCTGAGGAAACAAAGATCTCTGCCATGAAAACCTTGGGGACACTAAGTAAAATAGAGAAGATAACGATTGGGTTCAATAAAAAATGAAGGAGACATACTATAATTAGACCGGATGCAGTCCCTTTTCTTTTAAACATACACCTATTGTATCTCTTACCTTTCGGATTGCCGGTGGTTCCACTGGTATATAGAATCATGGCATCGCCATTTTGATAGAAGTCTAAGGAAGGAGTGCTGTTCCAAATGTCTTCTGTGATTACGTTTTTAACTTTCGAATTGTTTCTCAGATTTTCGTCTAGCACGAACAGCCTGATGTTTAGCTCTTGCGATAGATTTTCCAAATTGTGTCGGAATTCTGGGGAAGTGATGATTAACTTCGTGTCCGTGTCTTTAATGTAGTACTGAAGCAAAGCCTGCGGATGCATCGGACTTAACGGTACAGCTGGAAAAAGGAATGTTCGCTAAAAAAAGTAAAATAAGTGGAAATTATATTTAATCGCTTGGGATCGTAAGGCTTAGGGTCTGTCTCTGACGTCTTTAATGGATAGTTTATAGATAGCCTCTTGCTCATTTTAACACAATATGTCTTATTTTATACAAACCGCGTGAGCATGTAGTAACAGAATTATTTAGAATTAATTATTATATTGCGATGTATTACACTTTCGATCATTAGAGAACTCACCTACTATAGTATATTATGCAACAAGTGCGGTAAACGGCATTTGACTCACGAGGGTCTTTGATATGAGCGGAGCGAGTATTTAATAAACGAGTGACTTAAAAAGTTTACCGAACGTAGTATACTTTTTCTACGACCGTTAGTTTTTGAGTACATTATCGCCAAACAATATGAAGACGCCTTTCTATCACATTATTGGCTAACTGTAATTTTTGTTTAACACTTTAACACGTATTAAATTATTGAGTTAAAATTTGCTATCATATCTTATTGCCAGCATACGAAAATTCAGTATATTTAACGAAATTTTGCTATGAAGGTTACATTGACTGTAATCAATCTCCATTGTCATTTTATAATAATAATAAGTACCGTAGACAAAACCTGAAAGGAAAATGCTTTCTTAAATAATTTTTTTCCATGTTATAAAGCCGATTACCGCTGTTCATGAACAGCCTGCTCGCTTATTATACGGGTATTATTTAATAGATGAAATTCCACACGATGGATTGTTAAAGTAAAAAAAAAAACGTTTTCGCGTGTGTGAAGAGAAAATTTCATTTTTGGTTTCTTACGTGTCGAGGGCGTTCTTATATGATTGTTATGTCTCTATTATATTTGTGGTCAAAAAATCCTCATTCATTTTAACGTAAAAGTAGAAGCTTTCGAGTTTTGTTTAGAAACATATATTTTTACAAAGATGTCGTTCAAAAAGTCATGAGCTTTTGAAATTGGGAAAATCCATTTAGTGTAGCGCCCCCTACAAGTAAGTGCTAAATTAAGAAAAAACTCCAATTTTTCATGCCAAAAAAAACAACAACAAATGTTTATTTTTTATTTTCGTTGTAGTTAATTCTACACTTACTAAATTCTTCTTCTTACTTTACTTTTTTGCCCGACACTGCATTTTCAAAAAATATTTTGTCGTGTGTTATATTCAGTTGATCGAAACATTTGACCGGCATTCGCTTGAAAACCATCGTCACGACTTACAGGATTTTCGGTTGAAATCACTTGACAACTGCGATAGAATGTGAGAAAAAAATCCAAACAATCCGAAATGTCTTTATTTACAAACGCAGAGTAAACTGACGTATTAAATAAATTATCTGAGATCAGACGCAACTTACCTTCGTTAAAGAAACATCAAAATGGTACATTTTCTAGTGAATATGAAAAGTATAAAATAGCAAATGTATTATAACTCCGATAATACATATAAAATTTTGGTTTTCATAAATTCTTCAAAATTGGAAGTATTTTGGAAAAAGTTTGGTCATAATTAAAAATACATTAAATTGTATTGGGCATCATAAACTTTACATACATTTATTTTCATCTCAAAATACAAAACACAAAACTTCTAGTTTGATAATTTAGTATCAATTTCATTTTGAAATTATCAAACTAGCAAACAGGGCAAGTTCAGAGGACGAGCCATAAGTACCGTTTGCGCGTGCTACATCACTGCTATAAATGTTGTATATTTATTTTCGTGAACTTAAGAAAGTAATTTCTATTCAACACTAAATTAAACGTAATGTCCAGACATACCTATTTGGCCTGACATCCAGATGGCCCATAAGGTAATCACGTAGCTGACATCGTTTGGACACAAAAACAAGACTCTTTCACCTCTGGCTCCATTAACTCTGCGCGAAATTTTCATAGACAATTCTTTCGCCTCCACGAAAATATTGCTGTACGTGTAGCTCCCCGTGTTGTCGTATATGGCTGTTTTATTTGGGAAATTTTGCACGTTGGAAAACACCGGTTTAACGACATCGTTGCTCAATTGCGTCGAGGAGACGAATATTTTCCTTTTGAAAACGGCAACGGAAAACGAATTCAACGGGATCTTCCCGCTCAGTCGCCGTAATCGGTTAAACGACGACATATTAATATTGTTTACAAAATTCGCTGAACGTTTGTGATAACCTGATTTTCTCAATTATTGTGTTTCGCTTATCAGATGTATAATTCAAGGTTTTCGTTCAAGAAAACGTATCTGTACAGTGCGTCCGCGAACAAAAGAACAAATGAGTTTTTCTTTTCAACAAATTATTCTACATAGCCGAATTCAGGATAATTAAAGGTTTATGTATTGGGTGTATTTGTTTTATGTTGTAATTTCTGGAGAAACTTAGTGGGTAATGAGCTGTTTTACCCCGACCTTTCCGCTATAAGGAAAAGTATTATAATTCAAACTTTGTTGGTAACTAAATAGGATATGCTTAGCAATTTTCCGGGTGTGGTTGTTGTGATACATTTATGAAGGTTTAGGTCTGCTTATGTTGTCACAATTTTCTTAAAATTTCCATTGAACAATATCAATGCTGAAGCCGTATTTTCACCTACTGTACACTGATATGTAAAATTTCAGGATTTCAGATATCAAGCGTTGATAAAACATTGTTTAATAAAGCATGCAAAGTGTAAAGTAGGTTTTTTGAGCAATATTATACGCCGACAAAACACTGTTTATAGCATCGTCTCACATCTTTTAAGAGCCCTGAGAATATAATTACACTTTTAGATCACAGGAAAACTTGTAATAAATGAACTCAGTGGTAACTTGACTCACATGAGGGAATAATAATCGGGTTTTATTAAATGTTATGGTGGGTGTAGTGAGATTTGTATAGGTCGAGCCAAAGACGCCATACTATGCTTACCAGGCAACCGCAGTCGTCTTTTGTATTACATTATCGATTGGTATTTGTAATCTATAAAGTTGTTCTTCCATGACTTACAAGGTCATTTGACTTATCATCAATTGAGTATACGAAAGATGTGAGTACGAGGATTAGTGAGATATCACTTCTTATAACTGATGTACAATGTTTACGTCAGAAGGGCAGATTGATATGGCAAGATATATCAAACGAATGATACATTACTTTTTTCTCTTTCTATTATTGAACGCACTATGTATGATTTGATAAATAGCGATCACGTTTTTCTAATCTATAAAACTACTTAAGTGCTTAAATTTGTGCAATCTATGCAATACATTACCTCCTGATGGATCACATAATGATATTTTACAATATGAAAGAATTTTCTACTAAACTAAACATAATACAATTCCACTTCTTTGATGTTAATTTATTTAATAGATAACTCTGGATTGGTCGGTAATGCATAACATCATCAACTCAGCGCACCTTAAAGATTTAAGATAAACTAAGTCATTAAAACTTGTCAAAATATATATGGAGCGTGACAAATTCAAATGAGTACTGTTGCTAATTTTTCCGTAATAATAATAATAATATCCAGTATATTATCTACTTATCACCTCTTTTATAAATATTTTTAAAAACGAAAACGTTAATATAAGATACTATTTTAAAGAGTATAATATCATATACAGCAAAGGTATGGGTAATAAGTAAAAACAATTAAAGGGAAATTCTAGCTACCGAAATGATGTATTGGAGAAGGTGTTGTGGACTCACTACAAGAGACCGAGTTACAAAGAAAAATGGGCTTGTAAAACGATGTAATACATCACATAGAAATCAACAAATTGACTTATCGGACCCCTAATGGAAGAAGAAAGAAGGGGCAGCGAAGAAGATCATGTAGAGAGAGGATAGAAGAGTCTATGCAAGGAAGACAGTTGGGAAAAGGATCATGAGAAGATAGATCCGAAGGAAGGAAGCCGGCTACGGCTTGGAGATGCCAGAGCTTTCAGTTTATGTTGTGCGATGTCATGCGATTTATGAAAGTTGAAGTTTGGATGATCGTAATTGGAAAACTGGGACACTAAACAGCACAAATTGACTGTTTAATTGCTGTTTAGAAGCAAACAACTAAATTCGGCGTCCAAATTCGAAATCTGAAAAAACTGAAAGCCCTGATGGTGGAAATCGTATTGGCCATGGTAATCATGTGCGTCGAAAATATGATCGGTGTGTCGGCTTGGAAATATTAAGGATTTGTCCAGTTTCTTTCATATAAAATCTTTGGTACGGCTATAGTTTACATACCACAGTACCAGTACCGTTAATTTTATTTTTTAATATCGCAATTTATTCCATAGCGTTTCCGTTGGGAACTATCCCTACGAAAGATATTGTATGCATTTGGTAAATTTTTGCTTGAGGAACTTTAAACCACGTAGTAAAAAAAGACAAAATTGTATTTGAAAATTGGCTATAAGCTTAAAAACAGTTAAGTAAATGAAGTGCTTTTCTCATCTAATACAAATAAATTTGGATTTGTTTGAAATAGATTATGTTTTAAATAAGGAACGTCAGTGTTAATTGTCTTTTTTCGCTTAGCAATTTTGTGCACAATTGGGCAAAATAAAAACAACCGCATGCTTCATGTAACTTTATTTTCTTAAAACTGATTACTGTATACTTTCTAGTGCACGTTTATTTGGCAAACAAATGCTACATTATTTTGGCTTTTAGTTAAAGTATGCCGATTTTGTTTTTTATCGAACAAGGCGCGTAAACACGGAAGTTTGGCACCATTCCTAAGTATAACTACGCCTTGGGCGCGTCACATTGAAAATTTTGACATATGTACCTACGTACAAAATGAACGCTTTGGAGATGCTAAGGTTTTTGATAAAATACGTAGTGGCTGTTATATACGCAAAGTATCAGAACTGTCATTTAAATTTAGTTGTAACCCTAATCACCTATTAATCGTTGCGAGTTTCCTAATTAAAAATATATTTTGTATAAAAAAATATAGTAAGTATTTGTGGAACAAAAGAATAACATAATAAAGTTATTTTACTGAATGATACAGCTGAGGCAACTTGTTAATTAAACCAATTAAATTCAACTGATTCTTAATTTATCAGACAATGCAAGCAAATAGTTTTTCTAAATATAAAAAAAACAAAAAGTATAAATATAGAAGTAAATTTTGTTTGCAGTTTAAGCGGATAGAGCGTCCTTGATAACCCTCTGACTGCATTGAAAGTGGATTCATTTTATTGCGATATTTCTCTGCATTCGTTGCATGACATTGACATCACTTCTTGTTAGGGAGCGGAATTTGCAGTTTGATTTGACTTTGGCTCGGACCTTAACGGAAAGTAATACCCGATAGGAATTCCAGAGAAATTAAATTAAGCAAGCAGCAAAATCGTTGAACAAAGTTTATGAGCACAATGCGCGAGAAAAGTGTATATAAAGTACGTACAAGGTTTCCGTTAAGACAATTTTTTCTTTATTTGGTTTATTTAAACTTAAAGATTTTGTTATTTGGTGCAGTTTTTCGTAGTCAGAACTTTTTGACGTCTGTTTTATTGCCGATTGTAACTGAACCGTACGCATTTGCAAATTTGTTTTTCATTCTTAGTCTTTTCTTGTGGTTTTTTATAATGTAAAACAATAACCTCTTTGTTAATGTGGAAGTTTATAGAAAATCTCTGGGAAAATACAAGCAAATATGCTAGTCAAATTTAAAATGCAGTTCCTGAGCAAGAAATGGAGAGGGCCTTTTAGTCCAAAAAATATTTGAATATTTTTAAGTAAATTTAAAAATGTAGAGTTCTTTAGATATATATTAACAAGGTTTAATTTTATAATACGAATTCATTTGGCTATTTTAGCCAGTCTGGCAAAACAATAAAAACTTGTTCCTTTTATTTCTTACCGTCGAAGAAAGCCAAAAAAAATTATTAGTAAAGGATAGTTTTAACTATTGGTTTAGAAAAATTCTGATTTTACATGTTCTCATCATTTAATTTCGAAAAAAAAATCATTGACTTCTCTTTTTTTGATTATGCTCCTAAAAACATATAATTATTGATACTCCATTATTTTTGTCATATTTTGGCGATGTATGTGTTTACTGTTTGATCACTATATAGGCTACTTGGGACTAGATGAAACCAATCTCTGGTGCAGTACATTGCGTTTTGGGGATTTTTTGCTTGCAAGGTCTTTACACATATTGGCAAGAGGGTTATCATAATTATTAAAAATTTGTGACCAGTGTGGTGTCCAACTCTTTGGCGAATGCAAAATATCTAAGAGTGAATCGGCAAAAGCGTTGAACACCTGGTAAACATGTACTTTTTCCTAGCAACGCATGAACAGATTTCTATTATTTCTTGTGTTTTTTTTTACATTCAAGAGCAAGAGGAATCAATGTTAATGATTTCAATCAATATTAATGATATTGCGAGTTTGTATTGATACAAATTATTCGTATACGTTTTTGATAGAAGCTAGACCCGTCTAAATGCAAAAAGGTTCTGTTCTACCTGTTCATGGATTGCGTTTTATAATTCACGACTTATACGTTGTGGAGGAAGATACTCGGGATGTGTTGAAATGATCGTTTGCCCAAGTTCATTAGCAGCTGCCTGTTACGATTGGCGCCTTCCTTTGCCTTTTTCCTGGCGATTTCTAGCAACAGTCGGTTTCGTAGAACGTCCAACGAATTTACAATTGATAATGAACCCCCCGATTCTCCTACTCTGGCCTGTTTCTTTCTTCTTAGGTACACGGTGTCTACTATGTTGTTGTCCTCTTCCTGAAATGAAGAATTTGTATTAGAGATTTCTGGCATGTAAAAAAATAATTCGGAGTTATATTAATAAAATATTCGTGGGAGTAGAACTATAACTAACCAGCCTTCAGGTTTTATTTGCTACTTCGCCATACGCCATTTTATTCTTATGTAATGTGCAAGACTGCATCTGACCTCGACAAAATTTGCCAGTGAGGTTAAGAAGCATTTTGAAGAATATTATGAATACCAATAAAAGTAAGTAAACTGCCTCGAAATACTTGGGTACTCTTCTACAGCAATTTTGATAATTATTATTACTACAGAAAACAAGAATAACAATTTAACTGAAAATGTAGTTTTCCAAAGGAGTAGTATAAAAAAATATGCCATTTTGTTATGAGGTTGTCCATATCTAATATTTTTACCTTTCAAATATAATAATTTTTTAATAGTATATTATTCAATATGTGTGGTAAACGGCATTTCAGTCACGAGTTTATATGGCACGAACGTAGCGAAAATTAGTTTTTGGATACATTTTTGTACATGACCGTCAAATTGACAATCACCAAACTTGGACTAGAAAAATATTTTTACTTTGTGAATACACTTTGTGTTTCATTTAATAGTAAAATTTCGGCAATATATGGATAACCCAAATTATCCATAAATAAAGTAACAGAAATACTTTTTGAGGGCTAAAAAGTCTATAGTTTGTATGAGAAAAAGATTTATAAATAATAAATTTGATTTCTAATACTTAATAAGATTATAACAGTAAAAATATATTTGCTGAAAATTTATTTTTTAACTTTTTTTAATATAATTTTATTTTACTAGGTAATTTTAACAACCCTGATAATCATTATTATCAAATTTGCATGGTTCGCAAAATTGACCTTTTTGGAGGAAAAGTAACATTTAAAAAAACGGTCATTATCAAAAATTTGGCCCATATGGTTCAAACTTTCTGAAGGACACTGTATATATGTCTACCATTTTGCAAATACCAATACTTTATAAGGTGGTGTTTCATAAGCAAGTTGACGGTAGAACCAAAAGTGACCATCTTCTGGATATTAGGTTAAACCCAGCGAAAACAAAGTGTATGTGTTGTTTTGCTAAACATCTGCCCTCTTTTAGTAACTTGAAAATTTAGATCTTAGTGTATTTTATTCTAATAATTTTAACATCTAAAGCTGCTGCGATATGTACAATGATCAAGTCTGAGACACGCCCTAAATATTACGACTACCTAATTTTGGGATTAAATGCTATTTAAAAATATATTTTGTATTCGCAACATTTTCAACTAGTGGTTCAACAAGCCGTACAATAAAACTAGGGTGGTTCAATTAATTATTTATTATTTTTCTCAACATAGTAACAACGGTTCAGCAGCGCTACCAACAAAACATGCAGACATAAATTTACACAAAATGTGGAATCTCTTTAATACTGAAACACTATACTGATAAGAGACTATAGGGGTTACCTTAGAGTAAGTGACTAGATTTTCTCAATATATACCTAATAATACTTTTTTATCACTTTAGCAATCAAATTTAACAATAATTTAATCTGAGAGGACTATATAGGTACTCGTTTTAAATTACAGGAAGAGCTAATGTGTCGACAACTACAACACGTGTCGTTGTTACAAAATTACTTGTATGATTGAGAGCTTATCTGGTCGATCAAGCGTCTGTTCTGGAGTATCCTATGTTTAAATGTGTTCAAGTCATAGGCGTTTCTTAGTGCTTGAATTGGCGCCTGCACCGATAGATTGGGTTGGTAGTCTCTTTGGTAGTTGTAACGTTTGTTTCTAATCTTCTTGGGTTTGGTTTCCTGCAACAAAAAAATGTGCTAAGCAAGCGGGATATTCCATTAATTCTATTGGTACTACATGTAATGTCAAAATGATGATTGCCCATCAATTTAATTATTTTTCCCAAAGTAGAAGTTTTCGTTTTTGCGAATTTGAAAAGAATTTTTTCATGTAAGGTAAGCCGAATTAGCAATTTAGTTGTGAGAATACGTGATCATCTTGGTTTTCGATATAAACAAAACCTTACATATTTTTGTTTCACTGAACGGATCTTTTGATTCTGAATTGAAAATACGGTTTAGGACAATTGGAATTAACCGTTTTGGATATATGAGGGTAAGTTCGCCCACAGTATAAGGTAAAAAACCGCAATCCGCTGTATATTCTATCACTTTGAATGAAGTCTTTCGAATATACAGGGAGTATCTCAGTAGATTATCTCTACTCGTTTTCATTTTAAAAAATTACTCACCGATAAGATCGAAAGTTCAGATTAGTTTCTATACATTACAATCTATACATCTTACATGAATTGTACTCTTTACATATTCAAAACGGTTAGTTTATTCGCCCAACAAGTTATATAAATTTTATTTCCATAATGAAAATATAGCGTATGATTTTATTATTGATTCTACAATTTGTTGAGATTGAGGAGTTTAGATCAGTTCCTTGTGTTCCAACTTCTGGCGTGCCTCAAGGTTCTAACCTTGGACCTCTTCTGTTCAATATATTTATAGACGATCTCATATCTTTGATCATCTGCAACAAACGTGCCTATGCGGATGACCTAAAACTATATGAATACATTGAAACTGGCACGGACTGCATGACTCTCCAGGACAACATCAATATTGTCAGTCAGTGGTGTACTAAAAATAAATTACATCAGCAAGTGTAAGGTGATTTCTTACCACCGCACAAAAACTCCTATAGTCTTTAATTACAATATGGATGGTATTGTCCTGACTAGACTTATCACTGTGAAGGATCTGGGAATTTTATTTGACCAGTCGTTTTGTTTTGTACCTCACATTACTAAAATGGTTTTCAGTGCAATGCAAATTTTAGGATTCGTAATAAGAAATTTCAGGCATTTTTGTAGTTCACCTACTGTTAAATTGTTATTTAACTGTTATGTTAGGTCCAAGCTTGACTATGACTCGCTGATATGGTCACCAATTTATAACTGCCACACTGAGACCATTGAGAGTGTGCAGAGAAGGGTACTAAAGTATCTAATGTTCAATGAGAACGGTTCCTATCCTGAGGGGGGAGTTGATCATGATCTTCTGGTAAGAAGGTTCGCTATACTGCCTCTGAGCTTGCGCATTTCGCTATAAGTTAGTTCATTATGGAGTCGATTGTCTGTTTCTTCTGGAACAATTACCCAGGTCCAATATCCATTTTCAAAACCCTATTTACAATATGTCTGCTACCTTCAACAAAGTATCATTGTATTGCGATTTATATTATGGTGGTCTCCAGGCCATACTTCGGCAACTTCGATTGGCGTCGGGTTATCCGTGCCGACAAGTCTTATTCTTTTCTTTCTCATTCTTTCTTTTTTTTTAGTTATAAGATACGTCCCCTGGTATATATATATTGGATGATTTATATTTAGTATTTCCTGTAATTGGGTCATGTTACCCGTTGGAAATAAAGTGCTATTATTATTATTATTATTTATAGCGTAGTATTTTTGAAATTTGACGGATGATATCGTTCTAAGCCGCTGATTGCGCTTCAAAAGTTACATACAATGTCGCTTAGGAAAGTTTCTATTTCGAGTGAGAGACACCTAAAATGATGTGCCTGTACCTATCAAGATAAGATAAAATGGTGGCAACATTGTTTCACATTCGCCTCTAAATAACCACTAACTACTGAATTGTGTAAAATATTTGTGAAAATTAACTTAGTTGTTTTTAAAGACCACTGGCGTAATTTTGAACACACTGTAGCTAGTATATTTTTAATTTCCTAAAAATATTGTATTTGTATTGAATTATGAGGTAAATACGGGAAGTTTAAATCGAAAATGCAATTTGACAAATTTGAAAAATTTCCCTGGAAACATTCTGAATTTCATCACTTTTAAAACGGTACGTTGTTAGGAATATATTAATAATAAATAAATATAATAAATTTGCGTTGTTTTTCAAATACAAAGAGATAAAATCAATCATCGAGTTTCATTTATATACTCAATTCAAGTTAAGTCAAGTCAAACTTACTTGATACAAATCGTGCTAATTTACAAGATACACGGTGTGCATGTTTTTTTCTTTATAAAAATTGAAAAAATTTAATTTAGCTCATAGAGCGCGCGCTACCTGTGGCCGATTATATGAACAAAAGAACGATTCTGTATTGTTAGAAAATATGTTGCCCGTATCGCGAAACTGGGTATGCGTTGAGCTATGTCAATAGCATAATTTGTTTGTTCATTTAAAAAGTACTGTCAACACTATTAACGGATTGCTGAAACAAAACTGAGCATACATCCTGTATCGTCTGCCAACGTTATATGCTTCATAGATAGGACTAATTTAACCAAGTGGTTCACAAACTTCAATTAATTTTTCAAAGAAACTTCCACAGGCTACTGTAATGCTTTTTACAAAACATCTGGATTCCTCCTGCGTCGGCTTTTGCTTAGTCTAAATTGCTGACGTTTCGCCAATCATCATGTTGGGTTCTTCAGAGCTTGACTGAAACTAGTCAGTTTCAATTAAGTTTATTAAATTATCAAATACACTGTATATACTTTTTTTATTAAAGACAATATGTTTTAAAAATCTTTTTAAATTAATAAAATTGACGAAAGCAAGCGTACCAATCCAAACGATAGCAAGAATTATGAAGCAAAACCTCATTTAACTGCAAAAACAACAAAGACAGTTACGGAAAAGCGGATGAACGGAAATGCGAACTAATTTCATTCCTTATTTAATCGTAATACTCCTTTGAGTAAGATGTTGTCCCGTTTAGCGGAAAATGAGGTAATCTAACCGTTTTAATTTTAATCTCGTTTATGAAAAGAAGTTAATAGGTTTCGCAAAAAAATCATTAAAGATATTATATATTTCATTTATTTTTACCAAGTTACCGTGTAATTTCAATGAATTTTTGAGAGGGCTCTGCACCCTGAAAATCTCTTGTGATACTAGAAAAAGAAATGCAGGGTGGCTGTTTTTTGGTAAAATTGATTAAATATACATTGAAGCGAACAACCTGTTTAGAATGCACTATACCTTGCACAAACTTTGAATTACTCTTAAAACGGGTCGCATCTATAACATTACTGTTACAAACAGAGAGGCAATACTAAACTGTTTCCGAATAATGAAATTATATTATATATATTATATATCTGCTTTTCTAAAAAAAATGTTTTCACGTAAAGATACCGCATTGCGTTTTGACCATTGTGATAGAAACTACATAGACAATTTTTTCAGAACCGTTTAAATGGTTCGGATGAGGATGATGCAAAACTGATGTAATGACCTAAAACCGAAATTATTTGTGGAGCTTCTTACCTGAACGGTACGGCCAAACTATTTAAAAAGAAGTGAATGTATGAAATTTAATGAGATCCAACGGAATGAGCTTTGAAACGAGCTCTGTCTGTGCTGGTAGTAGCAGCTTTCGAAAAAATGTTTAGACGGGATATTCGACAGTTTTCAGTTTAGATGTGGCATTTTTACAGAAATTTGAGGGACAGAAATTGAGGAGCACGTGCACTTAAAAAATGTTGAAAGGACATTCGCATTCGCAACAACCAACATGATCATTGACAGTTAGTCAATTCGACAGTTTGTTGTATGGATGTGACATTTTGGCAGCAGTATTTTCTCAAAATATGGCCAGATCCCGTTAAATTTTCAGAGCAAAAAGTCCTGAATAATATACCGATCTTCTCGTAAGAATATAGCCGTCACTTGCGGGGGCTCTTATGATATCAATGAAGCATTTAGCTTACAACCCAAGAATTTTTCATTAGTCAAAAATTCGGCGAGTGGTATTCAAGTTTTATCTCGTTTTTTTTTTTTTTAAATTTACGGTTCATTGCTTTTGATTTTATTATTTGATGTTGGATTTTATTATGGTTACCTATTCAATGAATATTTTTAAAATTAATGGAATATGTATAATCCAATTATCAGATGGTGATTAACCGAAAAAATGTATTTATTTATCTACCCATTTCATAATTTACACACACACACGCATTTATACTCTATTATCTAAACATCAAACGACTTATTTAAAGCTAACTGTCCACTTCAACTCGCAATAAAAGTCGGTCATGAACGGACAGTTCGCTTTATCAGAAAGTTATCAGTCTACTGATGTGTGCAAGATGTAGCATGCCATGCTTTAGTGCTCTACATTATTCTGGTATCTTTCATGTTTGTGTGAAAGGCGTTATTGCATGAAAGATACCTCGTTTTTGACATCGATTCGTGAACGAATACATTGAAATTGATACTTACAATTCGAGAAAAAAGATGATTTACTGAAGCATCAGTAAACTAATAACACTTTAACACTTGTCACACTTGAACATTTAAGTATTAATTTCTAGTTCGTTTCTCAGCGCAAATTTTTATTATTATATTTATTGCGTACACTGGTTCAATGGTATAGATATTTACTGTCTCACTGTAAAACGAAATATTTATGTTATCAGCCCATGAGTGAACTCGTTGCCTTAACAATCTTGTGCCCTTAATTCACAGTGAAATCAGAACTCACCAGAACAATACAGAGTGTTTATTAATAGATCCTTTGAGTGTTTTCAAGGTAGGTCTGGAATTGCTGTGTTTTTTGTAGAGAATATCAGACTTTGAAATAAAAATTGTGCTTTATCCGTTTGTTTTAAAATTTGACATTAGTATTTATTTGACTAAAAATACAAGCTTTTTGTCTCTTAAATTTCTTTCGTTCGTATCTCGCTATTTGTGTTATTTAATGTTAAGAAATTCTTCAACAGCTTCGCAGATGCAGGCTTTTGCTCAACTGGTTAGTTTTAATTTTAGTTTTTTGGTTTTATGTTAGTATTATTTAAAAAAGTTACTAAACTCCATTACTATTTGAAGTGTTATTTCAGAACCTCGAATTTTATAATATTCCAATTTTGTTAATTGATCCGAAAAAAATACAAGAAATGAAAAAGTCAGCGAGGCACATTTTTATACAATATTAACAACGTTTTATGTAAATGTTATTTTTATTTTTAATAGCTAATGTAAATGAATTTATAAAACAAATAATAAGAAATCGTAAGTATAGAAATAAAATCTTCTTAAGAATTGAACAATATCTACAGCCAATTAAGGTAAATATCTCTCTTTTACTTTTAAGCGCTACCATTAAAAATAAATGAGTACATATTTTATTCGTTATCTATCGAATAGGCAGAAGTGATTGCAAGCAAAAAAATCCATAAAATATTTTACTATATGTAAAGTGGGTGTTTTTTTGTAAATCACATTTTCAAGGAATCATAAAACCGATATATTTTTAATGTAATACCATATTTTTGTACCAATTTATTTGCATTATTATACGATTTACAAGTATAGTTCATAATTAATTTGTATGTGTAATGCAATATTTGGAGTAATTGTAAACCGAAATAAAAACTTACTGGGTTGTTGATGTCGTTCGAGTCCATTTCGGTAAGAACGTAAAATCTTGGATCGGTAACACCCCTCCAATCGCTGCTGGGTCGATATTTGGTAGTTAATTTCGGCAAAATATAGTTGATGGTTTCCGGGTCCGCAGCTACATTCACTGGCTCCAGCAGCCTGCTCACAAAGTTCGTATTGTCTTCGCACCTTACCGAGACAAAAAGCGCCACATAGATGAGGTAGAAAGCAACACGCATCTTGTGGTTCTGAAATGCAAACAAATAAATGTTTATTAATTTGATATAAAATGCTAGTACCCTACTATAAAACGCTTTCTTTACCCACGTTTGCAAGTCATTTTGCACATTTCCGGCACTCTAGTAGCAGTAGTAAACAATGACAATATTTTGGTGGTAATATTTGAAAAAACAGAAGTAATGAAAGAAGCACTTTCCACAAAATTCTGGGTTTGATTTAGTTAGGCTTGCGGTAGACAAATCTGGTTGGGCATTGAAAATGAGGGTAGTAACGGTCGTCATAAATAAATTAAAAAAATCGCAAGGATTCTAAAATTTTGGTTTACGTTGAATTAGAAGTCTACATCCAATGATACAAAACTAATCAAAGTTTGACTAATGGGCATACAAAGCATATATACATTTAATTAAATTTGGCATTTTAGCATTATATCTAAGTATTGGTCTTAGTAAAAGACTGATGTGAGCAATCTTTCTATAAAATTAAACTTATGTGGCAAATCACGTCACACTCGGCTGGGTCCCAGGACACTGTGGAATCCCACGGAACGAGAGTACAGATAGGCTAGCAAAAAATGGAGCTTGTCAAACAAGTACGCTACCTATCTTCCTACCCCAGTTCAAGACAGCTTCAGTTTATTTGAGCAGAGACGTAGCAATAGATTTCTAGATATGTGGCTTGAAGCTGAAGGTATGAGACACACTAAAGCCCTCTTTCAGGGGCCGCCCAGGACTCTTGCTTCCAACCTTATCGGGCTCAACAGGAATCAGCTGAGGCTGACTATTGGGCTGATAACTGGACACTGGTCAAGAAGAAAGCATCTTAGGAACATTGGCATCATACAAGATGTATTACGTCCAGAGGATGAAACTCCTCTGCATGTACTTGTCGACTGTGAACCACTCAGCGAACTCCGAAAGGAAATTCTGGGAGTGGACACAGGAAATAGTATCAACATTCTGGAAATTAACGCTTAACTACAAGATGGTATTTAAATTCTCAATTAATTATGACTGCCTTCGGTTAATGCGAAGTCGAGATTATTCGTGCGATAGTTTCGTATATCTCGATTCGTACATTCACGTGCGCCGAAATGGCAAAAATGCATTAAGCTGGAGACACAAACGCAACAAAAGAAAGTAACCCGAGCGTAAAACGTCAGTGCGACTTGAAAGGAGGAATGTTAGACCCAAGCGTTTCGAGATTCTCTGGGCAGATAGATACGCGTCTCTTGCTTGTAAAGTATGTGTACTGTACTGCAAAACTGTTTTGTTTGTACGTTTTGTGACTGCTTAGAGCAGTAGTTGTCAATTTTTTAAAAAATTATTTGGAGCGTAAAACTTGTATTATTCTATACAGAATACAGAATACAGAGTTTATAGGGATTGTTCTGAAATAAACATCAGGAAATAGAGAAAAGGGCATCCTTTATTCTTTATGAAACAGAGTTTTTAATCGAAATTAAAAAAGTTCCATCGTTTATAATAAATGTATATGAAATATCAAAAACATTTGCACACTAGTTAAGCACAGGGTTTTCCAGAATATTTTTACACCCTACCTGCCAGTCAAAATGGAAAAATAGTTTTTATTGACTTTTAGAATTTTTGATGTTACACAATTTTTCAAGTTTTTAAGTATTAAATTAATAGTAATAAGCCTTTATACTGAATTCTGAAACACGCTGTATATATTGGTCAAAGGCAAGTTGTTAAAAACAAGTTATAAATATAATTATTGAGTGGTTATTTTTAATTACATATTATGAAATACCGAAATCAAACTAAACTGACCAAAACAGGCATTTCTGCAATCGAATGCTTTGACTGTGATGGAATTTGTAAAGGTTACTTTGTCAAGAATATTTTTAGACTTAGGCTGTTATTTTTGTCTTTTACTTGTATATAGTTCTAGCTTTCGTATATTTGACGTACTAATACTTTAGCTTATACATTGTGGATTCCAAAACTGTCTGTTTTATTAGTTCCCCATCTTCATAACGTGTCTTCTTTGGGGCAATCGGGCAAGAAACACGGTATGATGTTTCAGTTCCAGATTTTTTTTTTGCCAAATTAGGTAAAGGGTTTTTTGATTATTTAATTGTTCAAAATTCAAATTGGATTTCATGATGACTCCCGATATTTCCTTTCTTAGAAATTAAGAAGGGAATTATTAATTACATAACATTTGCACCAAGTTTTGTAATGAACTGTTGATATAATGATCTTCACCTTCTTCCTACTGCTTACAGCAATATTTTTTTTGCAGTCCACTTCTCTACTAATACAAGTTAATTATTATGCGTTCCATCTTAAATAATATCGTGGTGGGATCCTACAAAGCTAGTTAGATTTAGTTGATTCTGGTGACAGTAAGTTTGTCGCCAACAACACGAGTTAGTGGTCAGCAACATTCTTTATAGTAGGATTAATCTTTTAATAGTTTGACATCTTGAATTATGCGTTAATAACGAATTTTTCAGACACTGCAATGCCTACCAACATTTTTCATTCAAATGTGGAAAACGGCAGTTGAGTCACGAGTTTATTTGACAAGAGAGGAGCGCAGCGGAGGAGTGTTTAATAAACTAATGACTTAAAAAGTTCTCCAAAATATTAAATCTTCCTATATGTATAAACTGAACGGCAAATGAAGTGGGACACACTCGACATTTCTTGACAGATGTCCTTTCAGCCAGTGGTGCAAAGTGGTCATCCTGCGTCAGTTTTGTCGCATTTCTTTCTTTCGGTGTGAATGTAAAGCAAGGTTTTGGCGAATAATTTGGAATAGGGGGAGTTCTATAAAATCCTTTATAACTTGACCGAATCACTAGGGACACTTGGGGGCAGCTTGCTTGATGAATTGCCTTGCTACGCAAATATGAATATGTTATGAAATTCCGTTTTTATTTAAAAATTTAAATTAAACAATAATATATACGATTTAAAACGGTCAACACCAGGGGTGTGCAGAAAAGGGTTTGTGGAATTTTTAACGGTTTTGTTTTATTAAGCATTAATGTTTAAAACTGTAATTAGTTGATTATCTATGACTCTCTATAAAGCTTGAGTTCTGAAGCATTTATTAAAAAAGCAATTTGGACTAAGCAAAAACCGACGCAGGAGGAATCCAGAAGTTTTGTAAAAAGCAAGAATTTTAGTGGACTCTCATCTTTTCCAAATTTTTGGCGAAAAATGGATTTTTTAAAGTTCAAGGTTCAAGAAGGCAATTTCGACTAAGCAAAAACCGACGCAGGATGAATCCAGGAGTTTTGTAAAAAGCAAGAATTTTAGTGGACTCTCATCTTTTCCAAATTTTTGCAAAAAAATGGATTTTTTAAAGTTCAAGGTTCAAGGAGGCAATTTCGACTAAGCAAAAACCGACCCAGGATGAATCCAGAAGTTTTGTAAAAAGCAAGAATTTTAGTGGACTCTCATCTTTTCCAAATTTTTGGCAAAAAAATGGATTTTTTAAAATTTAGGAATATTTTTTACTGCTATTCCGAAGTTAATTTAGTAGGGCTCTGAGATTGGGACTTTTCTTATGTGAAAGGAAAAGTTCCCATTGCACAACGTGACTCGACGAGCTGAATTATTTTGTAGATTGTGTTGTTGATTTTCCTTTACTACGACGTAAAACATTTGGTCTAAACGAATCGAAATTGGAAATGTAAAGTATTTGCAAGAAAAACAAAACAGCCATCTATAAGCGAAGCGTCAATTGCAGTTGTGCCCAATTGAACAAATTGATCACATTAAAATGGAAAATGGATAAACAGCTCTTGCTGTTTTGTTGGAGTTCCTAGTTATTAGTATGTATTTTTAGATCTCGCTTTTAAAAATGAAAGAAATTTACTTGTAGGTATACCAATACCGTAAAACTGATGCGTTGTCTCAGGCATCTATGACATTTTCGTACAGATTGTTTTCCACGCATATCCATAAATTTCACATATTCACCTGGACTTTGCACCGTTTTCTTTTTACACAATAATCTGGACACCCTAAACTCGTTTTTCACTTAAATTTAATGGGATCTGGGCATATTTTGACAAAAGAAATGCTACATGAAAACTGTCAAATTGACGATCTATCAGCGGCCATGTTAATTTTTTGTCGCTTTCTCCTAAAGTGTTATCAACACAGGCATTTGTATAAGTTGATCATTGCCTCTGAAATGAATGTAGTAAGTATTTTGCATTACTAAGAAATCAAGAATATGTTTGATATGCGAAAATTGTGAAAAAGTTTTCGAATGTACTGTGGGTGCTTTGACGCGATTTAATTCGTTTTTTTTCATTATAGATTAGTTTCACTAAAAACTTTTTTTATAGAATATTTTCTATCTAATACGCTAATGTTCGACGAGGGAATTTTAATAAAAACAATTAATTTCTTGTGTTTATCTTAAAATTATCAGCAAGTTTGGTGATTGTTTCGCAGTTTTTTTTTTCATAAATTGGTTTCATCCGGATCTGGAAATTCAGACGATCGTCACTCATGTCTATGACTTGTGATAATCTAATAAATCAATTTTAAAAGTCTAATAACAGCAAATAATCCAGTGTATCAGTAAAACGAATTTATATCTCCTACGAGTAGGTATAATCTAGTTAACAGAACACCTTTTCATCACAATGGATTATATCCTCTCCTTAACTAGGCATTTATTTGATCTTATAAAAAGCTTCATAATCAAATTTCCACCATCCTTAGTCGAGAATAACTGTTTCTGATAAAAGGAAAAAATCCAATTGGCACCTTTTTCTGGCAATAACCAGACATCCTATGATTATAAACAAGACCCAGGTGGAGAAACTGCAAATCGAGGGTTATAAAAGCATTGTTTTTTTTTCGTTGAGCAGTTTTATGATGGTTGGCTCTTTTATTTTCTTTACATTTTTCGCGTAGCATTTATATGGATATTCATTTTACTTAATTTAACTAGAATTTAATTTTCATTAGTGTTTTAAAACAAGATGATTTGTTGGATTTTGCTCAGTAAATAT